GACCGGATTATACATAATTATAATAACCGTGCAAGGACCGTCTAGTAATTTAATTAATCGGTAATGTATAATACCTTACCGGACTTTATTTGAACGGACATTTATTGGACGCTGGAGGCCCTAGCGTTCATTTTGTTCGTTCAAATAAAGTCAGAAAAGGTATATATATACCTACAATCTATATAGGCATATATACCTATATGTATATAAATATTTGACCAAAACCCATAATCATGGGTAGAGTGTACCGCTGCCAGTGTCTCTCTTTTCCAAACAAAAGGAAATGATATTAATTTGAATAACCGTCCGCAAATGCAAATTGATACCGAGAATGAAATCGGTCGCTCGCTTTTTCTAATCAATAAGCTTTATTACCAATTACAATTCGTAAGCCGTGATCGAATGGAAAAAGCGAGCGACCGATTTCATTCTCGGTATCAATTTGCATTTGCGGACGGTTATTCAAATTAATATCATTTCCTTTTGTTTGGAAAAGAGAGACACTGGCAGCGGTACACTCTACCCTTGATTATGGGTTTTGGTCAAATATCATCTCTTTTTGATTATAATGTCAGGATAATTTACAAAGCCGAAATGTAAACTCATAACTTCATTAATATTTATATTAATAATTAGGAGGTAATTTCATCGATTTCGAAATTTTACCTGACTGAATATGGCACTTTTTACTCATTCAAGTTGGCATTAAATTCATATATAATTCCATTTAAATATCGCGGGAAAGCAGAATTTATTCGAAATCACGAATGAGCAAAATTCTCACCTTTCGCACGTGCAAACTTTGAGCGGACGTTGCGTGCGCATACAATATTGAATCACCGTAAATTTTTGCATAGCAGTATTTTATATATAATTTAATAAGCATGCAAAATTTCAGAAGATTTCATATAGAACTTGGATCACAACGGGACTCCAAAGTTGATAAAAATGGTGAAAACAGCAATTTTCAATAATTTTAGCAATTTTCTATCAATTTGGGCGTGTCCACACGTGTGCAACTTTTCGATTTTCAACTTTAAAACTAGCCTATAACACAATTTAGACCTTTAGGAAGCACAATCGAGATCCACAACCCAAGGGATGGCCCAACACCAGAGAATACTAATTCACAACTTTTGTATTTTTATAAAATTATTCTTCAAAAAAGCACTAACTTCAATAGCGAATATCTTTATGAAGGAGCAAGGTAAGAAAATTTTCCGGTAGATTTTCAGAATGCTTGAACAATTATTTAAGATGAAAATATCCTCAGATTTTGAATAAAATTACTCCTTAATGGTTTAAAATCGATTTGAAAAGTTGTTATTTTGTTAAAAACCAAGTTTTTAAAACACTTAACTTGATGACGTCATCAAGTGATGATTTTTTTATCTCAACACTTATTTTACTTCGGACATTCCAACAGCCACATTGTTACACAAGTGTGTAACCAGCCAATTACAGGAAGCCGAAGGATTCAATTATACATTAGGCCAGTGACGGTTAAGGTAGTGTGTACCATACTTTCTTCGCCCGAGACTTTGCTGCAATGGGCAGCTCCTCATTTAACCCTCACACCCGATTTCTCGAGTATTTGGCTGAGTGGACCGGGGGGCTGCATAGACCACTCAGGATCCTTAGCTGAGCGTCGACGACGCTCACCCCACGGCTAGTGACAGAGTCGGGAATCGAACCTGGTACCTCAAGCAATACCAGGCGGATTAACCAACTGAGCCACTAAGCCGTTAAATGACGTTAAATTATTTTTTAATATAATGGAAACTGGAGTGTAAACGATTATCTTCAAGACCTGTGGTTCGAAATGATTGTATCTTTTATACTTTTGAATCTACGGACACTTAAATGTAGGCTATAATTGACTGCAAAAGCGTCTATACATAGATAGATAGATAGATAGATATACTTCACGACAATCTGTTGTAAAACAGGGGTTCCAGAAAACCCACTTCACGATACTCCTGAAACATGAAATTTTTTTTACAGTCGATTTGGACAAGGTCTAGACGCCCTGCAAAGTTTCATATCTCTAACTCAATTTTAACATGGTTTTTAAGGCACCTGAATATGGCGATTTTGGGTTTTTTACCTAATTTCGTATAACATGCTGGCGCGTATTTTGCGCAAATTTCTTAAAAACCTCCACATAACTATTTCTTATTCCTGTCATCTTTAACATTGAATTAGAATGTTTTGAACTTAAAAATGCCTGCTGAACTACTTTCGATGAGTCTTAATGCCTGGAAAACAATAAATAGGGGATATACTAGTATAGGGGGTAAATAGTATTGTGAATATAAGGGCGACGGTAATGCTTGCCAGCATTGTGATCTAATAGTTAAATTAAATACATTAAATGAATGTCTTCAAGCGTTCATTTTAATGTTCGTTCAAAGTTTTATCTGGTCGGATAACGTCCGATAACGTAACTTTAACTTAAAGCTAAGATTCCAAATTATTTTATCCATAGTTGTGCCATTTCCTTTACATATTCTGATTCATACCCATACCCATCAACATTATCTTTGTCCAATGTTAATGGACTGACCCGGGGACATCCCATTTGTAATCGGCTCATATTGTTATACGGCAGAATGCGGAAATCCTTCTGTTCATTTGAATATTTTTCCTTGATAAATTAAACGAAAAATATTACATTTCCGTATTTTTAATTTTAATATATATATTTTAAAAAATTATCACAATGCTGGCAAGCATAACCGTTGCCCTTATATTCACAACACTATTTACCCCCTATACTATTATATCCCCTTTATTGTTTTCCAGGCATTAAGACTCATCGAAAGTAGTTCAGCAGGTATATTTAAGTAAAAAACATTCTAAATCAATGTTAAAGATGACAGGAATAAGAAATAGTTATGTGGAGGTTTTTAAGAAATTTGCGCAAAATACGCGCCAGCATGTTATACGAAATTAGGTAAAAAACCCAAAATCGCCATATTCAGGTGCCTTAAAAACCATGTTAAAATTGAGTTAGACATCTGAAACTTTGCAGGGCGTCTAGACCTTGTCCAAATCGACTGTAAAAAAAATTTCATGTTTCAGAAGTATTGGGAAGTGGGTTTTCTGGAACCCCTGTTTTACAACAGATTGTCGTGAAGCATATATATGATATATAGACGCTTTTTGCAGTCAATTGTAGCCTACATTTAAGTGTCCGTAGATTCAAAAGTATAAAAGATTCAGTCATTTCGAACCACAGGTTTTAAAGATAATCGTTTATACTTCAGTTTACTTTATATTGAAAAATAATTTATCGTCATCATCATCACTTGATGACGTCATCAATTTAAGTGTTTTTAAAACTTGATTTTTGACGAAATAACAACTTTTCAAATCGATTTTACACCATTAAGGAGTAATTTTATTCAAAATCTGAGGACATTTTTACCTTAGATAATTGTTCAAGCATTCTGAAAATCTACCGGAAAATTTTCCTACCTTACTCCTTCATCAAGATATTCGCTATTGAAGTTAGTGCTTTTTTGAAGAATAATTTTATAAAAATACAAAAGTTGTGAATTAGTATTCTCTGATGTTGGGCCATCTGTTGGGTTGTGGAGCTCAATTTTGCTTCTGAAAGGTCTAAATTGTGTTATAGGCTAGTTTTAAAGTTCAAAATCGAAAAGTTGCACACGTGGGGACACGCCCAAATTGATTTAAAATAGCTAAAATCACTGAAAATTGTTATTTTCACAATTTTTATCAACTTTGGAGTCCCGTTGTGATCCAAGTTATTTTTGAAATCTTCTGAAACTTTGCATGCTTATCAAACTATATATTAAATACCACTATGCAAAAATTTATGGTGATTCAATATTGTATGCGCACGCAACGTCCGCTCAAAGTTTGCACGTGCGAAAGGTGAGATTTTTGCTCATTCGTGATTTCGAATATATTCTGCTTTCCCACGATATTTAAATGGCATTATATATGAATTAAATGCCAACTTGAATGAGTAAAAAGTGCCATATTCAGTCTGTTATCGACAGATAAACCTACCTGAACACAAGGAAACGTTTTCAAAGGTAAAATTTCAAAATCGTTGAAATTACCTCCTTATTAATGAAGTTTCGACTGTGTAAATTATCCTGACATTATAATCAAAAAGAGATGATATTTGACCAAAACCCATAATCATGGGTAGAGTGAACCGCTGCCAGTGTCTCTCTTTTTGAAACAAAAGGAAATGATATTAATTTGAGGAACCGTCCGCAAATGCAAATTGATACCGAGAATGAAATCGGTCGCTCGCTTTTCCCATTCATTCACGGCTTACGAATTGTAATAAAGCTTATTGAATGGGAAAAGCGAGCGACCGATTTCATTCTCGGTATCAATTTGCATTTGCGGACGGTTCCTCAAATTAATATCATTTCCTTTTGTTTCAAAAAGAGAGACACTGGCAGCGGTTCACTCTACCCATGATTATGGGTTTTGGTCAAATATATAATACTAATAGTTGAGGCCAGGAAGGAAAAGGAAAATCTACGTCGATTTCTGGCAGTCTTAATTTCCTTTTTTTCTCAACAACCGTTCCCGGCAAATTCCGGAAACATGATATTCGATCGATACCCGGATGGTCGGATGTTTCCGGTCCGACAGCGCAATAAAAGCCCCAGCCCGATTGCAGTGTACCTAATAGGCGTTCCAAAAATTGGATTCTGTTAATATGTTTAGTTGTAAGTACGTTAGTATAAAGTTGAGCTAATTTATAGTTCACTTTAATTTCGTTCTGTAGCATTTTTATCAGTGGGCCTTCCGAATGTACGTGTTTTCCATTAAAGCGTGTGGGCATTAATATCAATATGCTTCTAAGTAAAATATTATTACAATTCGGAGTACGTTTTAGAGGATTGACAATATCCATGAAATTTGATGTTTGAGGTTGATGGATAATTTGATTTCTAAAATGCTGCACTTTTATCATATATTTACGTCTTTCATGAATAATAATCGCGTTTTTCACATTAAATCAGAAACAGCGTATACATTTGCGGATAAATATACGAAATCTACAAGTTAATCCAATACATAAAGATCTGAACAATAATTAAAGTTTGATTAATTTAAACTCATGATTCAAGAACACAAATTACCAGCACTCCAAACCCGTTATACCCTTCAGTCAGTGTTTTTCTAAAAATACAACCTCGGCTCAATTGGTAATTTAATTAACGAACAACGTTATTTATCTCATATTTTATTCCTGAAGCTTAAATCTAATAAGGACACAATGTTTACCTGCAATGAACCATCGTGAAAGACATATCGACACCGTAAAATTTACTGCAGAATTGGGAAAACATTGCAGTTTGCGAGCTGTTACATTTAAAACTGATAATTATTTCATTTAAAAAAATGTTAAAAGTTCGAGATAAATGATGAAATACTCTCACATGAATCCTAACGAATCAACTGTGAAAAGTATATAATACTGAAATTAAGCTACCATATAAAGAGAAACTTCGAGAAGATAAAAACAATAATTTTGTAACAGAGTATTATATTATGTTAACATTCTATAATAATAAGTCTATAAATAATATTATCTCCAGATTATGAATTACCAGTTCGGCTGTCCAGAAAATGAGAAGAGGAAGGAGTAAAGGCCAGCTGGCTAAAGATAATGATAACAGTTAAATCTGCCAAATTTTATGTGTCCCTTCACAATTCATGTCCGTTTTAATTATAAGATAAACCAGGGAAACAGCTACAATTGATTTAACAATTATCAGAGCCCCCTCAAGTTTATTTTCTGCTTCCTCAACATTCGACAACAAAATATAAAAATCCCAGATCTTTTTATCGTCCACAATAATGTCCATATGGATGTGATGAGGTCACGTGAATAGAAGTGACGTCACGTGATGAGATATGACGTCAAGTGAAAAGATATGACGTCATATGAAATGTGATGCCGTCACGAGTTATCAAGTTCTTCAACCGCTCAGTCTCAGAAAATGCCTCCTCCTACCGTAGCAGTTTATGGACGCACAGCAGAGCTCGTTTGCAGAGCTCTGCTGCTTCGCTTCAGCTTTTTCGCATTGTCTTTTCAGCTTACCGCACCCCTCTGAGAAGAGAAAAATGTTAAACACAGTTTTTAGAGTTGAGGAGCAAGCTGAAATTCAGACGTAACGTAGTGAAACCCCAGTACAAACAATATCAAGAAGGTTACAGACAATCCAGAAATTGAATTAAAGATTTAAACAAAGTTATTAATGTCCTTAAACTTTTAACGACTTAACTTAATCACATTTTCATTCTAATTACAAAGCTTTACTACTTGTTTAAAACAGTATTCTTGTAACTTACTTTTACTATGTTTACTGTAGTCAAACTCCGAGCACCTCTGCCAACGAAACCGAGTCTTGACCAAATGATAGTGTTCAAACATCCATTTGACGCAGGCGTTATCAAGATTATGATGATATCGATCCTGGCAAGCACCCGTAGCTAAATCATGGGGTCCTTCCTCAGGTTCAGTTCCCTCCTCGTCTTCCTCAGCTTCTTCTATTTTTTTATTGGGCCCTTGATAAAAAAAGGTAACTCTTTGAATCTCACATAACACCATTGCACAGCAAGCCTTGTCGGTCTGATCGCTTCCACATTGACTGGTGTAGTCGGAACACGTTGCTGAAATAATTTCAAAATTAGATCATTTAAAAAATTTGAAATATTTTAAATTATTTGAAACAAGTACTGAAGGAGGAATCGATCACTAAGCTTTTATTTTATATACTCAATCTTATGTCCATGTTTTAAACTAATATTTCCATGAACATAACAATTTTCAAACGCAAATCCAAAAAAAAATGAAGGTAGATAACATTCATAACAACTAAAAAAGTAACTTACTTTTTTCAAACAACCCACTTTCATCATAACGATGATAATCAGCATCGTGACAAGATCTCCAACCCTCTTTATGTTTATGATAGTTATCTAACAACCAAGTAGCACAAGTTGATTTAGGATTTCCGGGGATTTGTTGGCTGGTAAAATTATAATGGCAGTTAAACGGTAGCGCTTGATCATCCGCTTCTGGGAACACAGTTAGCGGTTCGGTTGATCCTTCGGGGCGGGTTGTGTAGGGGGTTCCATCCTCAGCTTCCTCTTCTGATTCATCTGTAGTCGACTCAGGAAGTTGTCCTGAAGAGGTAATATCTTCCTCAGGGGGTAGCTGGGTTGAAGGATAATCGGACTCTGAATAATTTGTATCCTCTGCTTCCTCTTCTGATTCATCTGTAGTCGACTCGGGAAGTTGCCCTGAAGAGGTAACATCTTCTTCAAGAGGTAGCTGGGTTGAAGGATAATCAGACTCTGAATAATTTTCATCCTCAGCTTCCTCTTCTGATTCATCTGTAGTCGACTCGGGAAGTTGCCCTGAAGAGCTAACATCTTCTTCAAGAGGTAGCTGGGTTGAAGGATAATCAGACTCTGTAGGAGTAGCTACACCGGTACTTCCATCCTTAACACGGAATTTCTGCAGGATATTAATCAGCTCTTCCATTTCTGAGGCAGCTTTGTCCGCCTCAGTAGATATGGATTTCATCCTAATGAAGGATTGATTTGCCCGTTCAATAATCAGTGACAAGCTCTCCAGACCTGCTCCCTCCGGAAACACCATATTCCCGAGGCTGCCATCAGCTCCAAGACTGCCATCACCTGTCTTATTCTCGAGGGTATAATGACCACTCTCACAAAGACAGAGGAGCGCAAACAAACTCAACGAAATATCAAGCAACATTCTAAATTCCTGTGGGTCTGACAAACCTTCTCTAATTACATCCCTCCCGTAGTTTGGATATTATTTATATACCGGGCTGTATGATATCGCTAGAGCTTGCTGCGTCACCCTACACACGCAGCTTCCACCCTAATTTCTACAGAGGAGGGATACGTTTAATACGTCAATTGAATCTTCAGCGGGTAGGGGTACAAGGGAGGGTCACGGATGTCGTAATTCAATATTATGTCATAGTGCCGGGTTACTGATTATTTGATTATGTGTTGCTTCAGCAGTATCGTAAACTTAGCATATTGCGCATATAATATATATATTGTGCATATAATATTATGTTAATATTGGTTTATAAAAAAGTCCAAGGTGTAAGATTGCATTTAGTATATATATTATGTTTGGGTGAATCATGATCAAATGACAGATTTTTTAAACAAAAATTACAAACATCTTTACAAACATCTTTAAATTACTGTTGATATTACGGCTGCCAAATATCTTAGTCTCAGAGAATGCTGTTGTTCTAATAATAATAATAATAAATTGAATTATAAACACTGCTTTTAAGTTGAAAAACTTTTACTCAGCTGTGTGAGAATAACTACAAAAGAACAAACTGAGATAAGTGCCACAAAAACTCTATCCTAAATTAACAGCCTTAAAATTACCATACTTCTAAGGGATAGATAGATAACTGGAATCAAGTTTGTTTAACTCTCATAAGAAACCAGATTACCAACTTTCTTACTTTCCAAATGACATTTGGTCAATTGGTGGCCACGCTCATCAAATTCGGAAGTGTGAATTGTAATATGTATATGGTAGATGTTTTACTTTTAGTTTTAGGTTGTGTGACTTATTTTATAGTGTGAATTAGACCCAACCGGCCACCAACCCCATCAGATATTACCTGCAGCAGCCAGCTCCGAAAATAAACAAACACCAGCAGTTTTTTCAAATTTCTTCACTGCTCAACGTTTTTGTTTTACCTTCTCGAATCCAACGCGGAGTAAAATTGGGAAGCTAGTATTTTTCATGGAGTGTTTTTTTTTCGAAAAGTTTGGCTTAGATCAAAAGAATCATACGTAGTACGTACATGCATATTGACCTACCTATGTTGAGTTTCGTCAAAACTTGACGGGGCCAGCACTCCTCTTGTGCCCATAGCGAAGTAAAGTCTCGCTCGTTGCGCCAGCACAGCAGAGAGTTCGTATTTGGAGGAGTATATCCCCTGATCGGCGGCTTATCAGGGATCGGAGAGACAACATGAACTTTGTGAGCTTATATTTGAAGTGCTCTAGATCTTGAATGACATTCATATGGTGGGGGATTGCATTCCACAATTTAGGTCCCTGAAATGCAAATGAGTTGTCAAACAAGGTGAGGTTTGCTGTTGAACTGGTTCTGCGTTTTGATGGAATTACTGCAAGGACGCAAGGTTTCCAAGCCTTGGGCGTGAAACAAATAGAACGTTCAAATCATTGCTGGTCTTTCCGTGGAGGATTTTCCACATATGGAGAATGATGAATCGCTCCCGCCTTCGTTGAAGAGACATCAGAGATAGATAGACCAGGCGATCCCAGTAGTGGAGATCGCGCATTCCTGTTATTCTGGCGGTGAATGCTTTCAGCTGTACACTTTCCAGTTCTTGGATATCGCTGATTTTTGAGGGATGCCATATAATAATGGACAGCAATATTCAATCAGACTTCGAACCATTGATTTGTATAGCGTCAGCATGATGGAGTGAGATCGTGTGTGAAATAAACTGAGAACCCATGATGCTTTTTGGCGAGCTTTATCTGCAATGGCTCGTATGTGAGGGGACTAAGAAAGATCAATTGACACTATGACCCTTAAATCCCTGAGCTGATATATTGGCTCAAGTGTAGTGTCTTTGGAAACCGAGTATTGATAATGTTCAACCACAAATGGAAGCTCAGATAGTACATATTGGTGGTTGAATTTGAGACACATGTACTCAAATTTGTTTTTGTGAAGGGCCATATTATTTCTTTCAGACCAATCAATGACATTTTGCAGATACAAATTATCATTCAATTTTCATAACGATTATTGAGCCGAGGTCAACGTTTAGGATAATATTTTAGTCACACAAAATTTATCATCTGCGGTGAATATTCAATAATAATTGTATCGTTACTATAAATACTCTAATACTGGATCGACAGCTCCATGCAACCTTGTACTTGTAGGTTTACAACCTACCAGGACGCGCGCCGAGTTGGACTCGTCGACGGTCCAATATTTGACGGATGTTACTCGTCTAAATTTCTTCGAAGTAGCGCGCGCGGCGCCGCTTTCTTCTCGAAATGTTGCCCGATGGCAAGTGCTACGAAGTAGCGCGCGCCGGGCCAGATCATTAACAATGGTCAAGTCCAATATCAAATATATGGAACAGATATTTTAAGAGTATCACCCGTTAACATGCAACCTCTTTGACTTTATCCGCCGAATATTCGAGATCGTTGACAGTTGAGTAACACTTGCACTAACACTAACATTCAGTATCAAGTGTCAAAAAAGTATGACTATGGACGTGACTATGAGTACTACTACTACTAGCTTACTAGACTACTAGTAGTTTATGTATTGAAAAACGGATTATAATCAATTGACCGATGCCGAGCATTTAATTGACCCATCGGGTTGCAGATCATACGATCAATGAATTGGTGATGATTGTTGATTAAACTTAATGCTGAATTTGGATACCGATATGTTTAATGTGAGTCGATTAGCTTAAAATAATAATTTACCTAGCTTGCTAGTCTAATAGTTATTATATTACTCGCTCTTCTCACAGTCACTAACACTTAATACGAGAAGCTCGCGTCGAAAAGAGTGTTGCGCATTGGGACTGGCGTGCCAGGTAATATAATAATAATCATATTCATATTCATATCTGATTATTAGAAACTTCGCCGCATAATATTCTTACTGAAGAAGTTAAGATTTGGCAAATATCCAATTGACACTGACAGACTCCAACTTCAAAGAAATTGCAGCTTGGAGTTGGAGTCCCAATATAACACTTGCGCTGCAAGATTTTAAATTACTCTATCTTCTGTCCAGATTTATGATGAACTAACCTGCACGCGTTATAGTTATAGTTATACTTAATTGACGATGTCAATTCATGGCAGCTCGGCGCGGCACAGTAGCGCATCTCGCCGATCTAGCCAGTGAGAAGTAACGCATCGCGCTACAATAGTTATACTTATCACTTATAGATAAACTTTCCTCCTGAACACGAGTCACTGACGTAGTCCATCGTAAAAATTGGATCTGTTTGAGTGTTTGTTGAGGTAAATCCCCTTCTTTTAATTAATCGCAGCCCGTTAACTCAAAAAATATACGTCACAACCGAAGACACAGCCGATCATAATGTAGCTTGCCCTAAACACAACGTAAAATTACCACAAAACCGATCAAAATGTCGTAACAACAATCATTGCACGTGCGCGTTCAACACCGTTACCATGGTTAGTGTCTATTAATGGTTACTATGCAACTTCCTATAATCCTATTTCTCATCTGATTTGCACGTGGGTTGTCGTACATACAAACATAATCTTTTGAATTATAATAGAGACTAGAAAGCCCGTGGTCACAGGGAGGAAGCTTATACTATTCTTTGGTAGTCAATTTTTATCTTCTTATCGCATCAAAAAATATCCGTCACATGAACCGAAGATACAGTCAATTAAAATCGCACTGAACACAACGTAATCACAACAAAAACGATCAAAATGTCGCTCGAAATCTTTGCACGTGCGCGTTCAACACCGTTACTATGGTTACTAAGTTACTATGCAACTTCCTATTTCTCATCAAATTTGCACGTGGGCGGTCGTACAGACATACAAAGATAATCTTTCGAATTATAATTAAGAAGACTAGAAAGCCCGTGGTAACAGGGATGAAGATAGTAGTTTTCTATTTCTTTGGTAGTCAGTTTTTATCGAATCAAAAAATATCCATCACAACCGAAGTTACAACCGATTAACTGATTAAGATGTAGCTCGCACTGAACACAACGTAATAACAACAAAAACGATCAAAATGCCATTCCAACAATCTGTGCACGTGTGTGTAATAACCCTCGTTACCATGGTTACTATGCAACTTCTATAGTTCTATCTGTTTACCTAATTTGCCCGTGGGCGGTGGTACAGACAGACAGAAAGAATTCTCTGAATTATAAGTAAGATATTTCAGTTAGTTGTACTAAAAAGTATTCTAACGAAATAGTTTTTGAAATAAAATGTTTTCAGAAACGCTGGTAACCAGTACCACTTGTCTGTTTGCTTAAAAAACTCTTTTGACAGCTCTTTTCGTGTGACATTCAAATCTACTTCAACATTTGCTCATATATTCATATGGATTCTGGATTCATTAGGTGATCACAGTCACACCATACATCATTATCAAAATATTGGACTAAGATACACTCCCAGGAAACGCTACCTGCTAGGGTATATTAATTCCGAAAGTAGAATAGATAGCGACCTCCGGTTTATGGCAAAATTTTGTCTCGTAAAAATAGGGTTTCCCCCAGGAACAACATTTGGGACAATGAAGATTTTGAGCTATCCCAAAAAGTCTTGTTTTGGGCCGAATAGAATAAAAGTTAGCAACTTTAACTTTGCAAATTCCTGTCCTCTGATTGGCTGAAGTTTGGAATGTGTCACGGATCATTTTGAATTCTATAGTTCCAAAAAAGTATAGTCTTTCATTCAACTTTGTTTAAACATACATCTGAAGGGGGTAGCATGACAAAAACTTCAAATATAATAACAATTTTCTGACGTCCGCGTCATTAGGGGTCGTTCACATATTATTACGTAATCACTTTTTGGAACATTTTTACCCCCCCCCCCCCCTCCGTAATCAGTTTTACACATAGCTATTGTGTCAAAATTACACTAGCGTAATCATTTGGAAACCCCCCCCCCCTCAGCTGATTACGTAATATGTGAACGACCCCTTACATCATCATAAATACAATTGAAAATAATACTCGACGATATGTCTGCTGTGTTTATGTTATTGTTTTATTTTTTACTTCCCTGAAAATCCAAACCCACAATCTCACCAACTGCATTGAAATCAATGGAAAATGCAACAAGATTTCGAATTTAACGGATAAAAAATATATATATTTAATAGAAAAATTTGGTTTGTTCCATACTGTAACAGTGTTATGAATATTTACCAATACAAGTGCGTCATGCACTCTGCGCGCGTTCGTTTTAATTTTCTCTCACAATGGAGAAAACTGAAAGTGAAAGCGAGCCATAGACTAGACTCACAAAGCTGGGCAATTTTGAATTCAGAGTCAGTCGCAGGAGGCAAACGGACAGGGTTATTAATTAAATTAAGGGCACACGAGGGTGATTAACTTAGAGCTTTAGAGTCGCCTTGTCATGATAATAAAAGAAGCTGTACACGTGCTTCAACCGGTTCAGCTACTAAACTGTTGCTACTAAACTGTTGCTCTTACTTAAAGTGCAGGAACAAGACAAAATTTTCTGCCGTTCCGATCAACATGCCTCACTACAAGTTCGAGGTGTGAATAACAAACTTTTAACAAACTATATATTATTACTAATAATGGTAGCATACATTGTATTTAAAGTATTTAAGCTCCATTAAGTTTAAATCTGCTTTAAAACTTAACGAGAAATCGATCAAACATTCCAATAACATTCTTGGCTTGACACCACTCCCACCATTCTGATAAATATACGGAAAAAACTCAAAGTACAAAACAAACATAAATGTCAAATCAGGCACATGCCTTAACGGATATTGCTCACGATCAGTCACGAGAGATCCTTTCATCTCTGCATGATTGTTCAGGTTGGATATTAAATAATTCCTGATGACATCACCAATTCACCAACATATGTGATGACGTCACCAACATATGTGATGACGTCACCAACATATGTGATGACGTCACCAACATATGTGATGACGTCACCAACAAATGTTATGACGTCACCAACATAATATGTGACGACGTCACGGTTATCCACCTGTCAGTGCGTCACACGATATTACTAAGACTGTTTGATCGCTTTAACTTGGAAACAGAACTGGCAGCAGTTTTGAGGGTGGCGGGAGGGGGAGGGTTAGACCCGCTCCAAGAGTAGATTGTCATCCAGTCGTGACGATGTGGTGGTGGTAGTCCCGGGAGTTGGTACTCGATGAAATTAGAGAAGTTCTGCTTCCATCCAAACCTGAAACATGAGGTTATTATTCGGTGAATAAGTGTCATCTATCAAACTTAAAGAAAGAAAAAAGAACGAAAGAAGAAAGGAAGAAGAGAGGAAGGAGAAAGAAAGGATAAAGGAAGAAGAGAGGAAAGAGAAAGGAAGGAGAAAATAAGGAGAAAGGAAGAAGAAGGGAAGAAGGAAGGAAGAAGAAAAGAAGAATAAAAGAAGAAGAAAGGAAGAAGAAAGGAAGAAGAGAGGAAGAAGATAGGAAGAAGGAAGTAAGAAAAGAAGAAGAAAGGAAGAAGATAGAAAGACGAATAGAAGGAGAAAGAAAGAAGAAAGGAAGAAGAAAGGACTCACGTGAATGGTGAGGATATCTGGTCACTTCCCACACAATCACTTTGCAGGTAGTTGTATCGGGCCACGTTGTAAAACTCGTTTGTAGTTACACCCATCAGGATTATCTGAATTAGTGTGTTATTTTGGGTTCAATTTCGTACTTATTTCTGATGTAAATATAGATCTGTTACACGTGTCAATAACCATTTTATGGTGACCAATATTTTTCCGCATTTTAAAAATCGCTTGAAATGGGTGCCAAGATTGCAACATCTCTCTTCCCAAACCTCTTAAGCTTTTAAAACCAGCAAAGCCAAATCACGACCAATAATAATGTCACAACCATTAATGACGTCAATACCAATAATGACGTCACATCTCACCTGATTTAGCTGCGTGATGACGTCACGACCAATAATGACGTCACATCTCACCTAATTGAGCTGTATGATGACGTCACAACCAATAATGACGTCACAACCAATAATGACGTCACATCTCACCTGATTGAGCTGCATGATGACGTCACGACCAATAATGACGTCATGACCAATAATGACGTCACATCTCACCTGATTGAGCTGCATGATGAGGAGGCACGTGACCCAGAAAAGAACGAGAAGAGCGAAGGAGGTGAGGTAGGTTAACCAGGGACTACACGACACCATCACCCACATGGCACCCGCCCAACTGTCCTGGGTCACGTAACATGTCTCCGAGTAAACTGGTGTGGTTGGTTTAGAGGGGAGGGGGGGGGGGCCGGGGGGGGGGGGGGGGGGGGGGGGGGGGGTGAGAAGTAACATGTCTCCGAGTAAACTGGTGTGGAGGCGGGTTGGTTTAGAGGGGGGGGGGGGTGAGAAATGGTTACAAACATGTCTCCGAGTAAACTGGTGTGGTTGGTTTAGAGGGGAGGGGGGGGGGGGCCGGGGGGGTGAGAAGTAACATGTCTCCGAGTAAACTGGTGTGGTTGGTTTAGAGGGGAGGGGGGGGGGGGGCCGGGGGGGTGAGAAGTAACATGTCTCCGAGTAAACTGGTGTGGTTGGTTTAGAGGGGAGGGGGGGGGGGGGGGGGGGCCGGGGGGGGGGGGGGGGTGAGAAGTAACATGTCTCCGAGTAAACTGGTGTGGTTGGTTTAGAGGGGAGGGGGGGGGGGGCCGGGGGGGGGTGAGAAGTAACATGTCTCCGAGTAAACTGGTGTGGAGGCGGGTTGGTTTAGAGGGGGGGGGGTGAGAAATGGTTACAAACATGTCTCCGAGTAAACTGGTGTGGAGGGGGTTGGTTTAGAGGGGGGCGGGGGTGAGAAATGGTTACTAATTGGAACCCCCGGTTTAGATTGTATAACGGTCTAACGTGAACCGGGGATTATGTAATATGTTCTAAAATTTTGATTTATCAGTAATTGATGTTAAGTTTGAATGTAAATTAACTTTTTAATTATTAGGGAGATACAACGCTAACGATTAATAATTAAGAAAATATAAATGTATCTAATAGTAATCTACAGGCTCCAGCTATGAATTGGTAAATCCAAGATAATACTCACAGTTGTAGGCGGCGAGAATAAAGATGAGGATCTGAATACATATCGTTATCAGATATAGGATAAACCACTTGTGATTACGTAGTCCTGCAGACAATTAAATAATTACCCTAATTAATTAGTTAATTACCATTAATGGTCCGTCAGTCACGAGTTAAGAGACGAATTAAAAAGGATTAAAAAGATGTATAACAGACAGACATAAACGTATGTCTCAATGAACCAAGATAAAACGGTGTATAAGAAATACCAAAAATTTAACTTCAAAATTCATTGTCCGGTTGTAAAATGCCTCTTTTAAACACATGATTGACCATTCTTCCATTTGGGGCACATTATTTCAAATTGAGGCGCACTCAAAAACAAAAGTACTCATTCTAAAAACAATTCGAAGACCAAAAGTTATTGTAGCCGTAAACCGACCTCTCGAGTCTCGTAAAAAGAGAGTCACATTTTTAAGAGTTATTTATTCTGCTTAATACGCACAAACTTACATAATTAACTGGACTAATAACTAATTATGAACGATAATTACGTGAACTAACCTATACAGTTACCCACAAAAGGACAGTGATGATCGAACCTAGCAACACACTTGTCACAAACAGCACAGTGTTTGCTGCGGACCGGCCGCTTTACCACACACGTCGTACAGAACCGGGACAATTCAAACGTTCCTGAAATATGGGGTTTAATAATAAATAATCATAATATAAGTAAATAATTAATTATCAATTCAGTTTATTAAGTGTTTATTTGGCGTAAGTGAGGATTAACAAATTAGTAGTACACAACATACCTGACTCAGCCATTGAGAGAATCTCACGTCTTTTCTTATCAAAATCCTTTCCAAGGTAACCCGGGTCACCTGACCACACCCTTATAAAACTCCTGGTAGGGATTGATTATATATTAGCATATAATTAGCATATAATTAGCTTATCATTAGCATATTAGTATTAGCATTTAGCTTATCTTAATAGCTTAATGATGTTAATGGCTCCAATTTATTACGTCTTATGAATCAATTAATTATCACACCTTGATCAAAAGAAAGAAGATTTGATATAGTATGTTACTTGATCACATCTCAATGACCTCATAACCAATTTCAATAATGAATATAAATTAAGCAAACCTGATGTGAATAAAGGCGACCACCAGAAAGAATAACCCAGAAAATATGTCGAAGTAATACTCAGACAGTTGGTAGTAGAGGGTAACGTAGTTCCAGAAGAGGAGCCCGAAATATATCCCCAGAGGTAGGGGGTTGTCTGCGTGCTTTGTTAGACAAACTTTCAGTAGCAATATCTGGGAGGTTGGATATTTTGAATATTTTGGAGAAATTGGATATTTTAAATATTTCGGATTTTTTAATACGTCATAAAGCTGTAAAGCAGTAAAACTGGCTAAAAACATTATGCTCACAATATTGGATCTTTTCATCCTTAAGAAAGCGGGGTTGATAAGACAGATGATAATTCTCATTCCAAAAAATCGTCTTATCTCTTTAACAATCGTCTTATCTCTGTTCAAACAAAAGTTATAAATTTGTAAATTTACGAACCTGGATCAGGATGATCATAGCAATATAAACGACTGGTAGCAGATAAGGAAGGTCACATGTTATGATATATCCGATAAGACCAATCCCAATAGCAGGGTAGGCGGTCAGAGCGACTGGGGGCAGTTTCTTAGTAAGCAGCTCGTGGGTTTTATTGTGCTTTGCTCGCTCTTTCATTAGTCGGAGGATGCAATTGTCTTGGTTGCGTTCTGATGGGGTGTGGCTGTTTAAAAAATAGTACGTTTTGTACGAAAACTGATTATTGCACCAGAGGATCGTTAGGTGATTGGGGACGAAGCGACACACAAGGTTTACTTTATTTAGCTTTTAAAGAAGTTAAGCAAACCTGCTATCTGAAGCGGAGTGTCTCCATCATTGTTAAACGCGTGTAAATCAGCTCCACCATCTAACAGCTGGTTCGTTACACATGTATTGTGTTGGATCGCTGCCAAATGTAACGCTGAAATAAATATAGTTACTCATGTATTGTGTTGGATCGCTGCCAAATGTAACGCTGAAATAAATCTAGTTACACATGTATTGTGTTGGATCGCTGCCAAATGTAACGCTGAAATAAATATAGTTACACATGTATTGTGTTGGATCGCTGCCAAATGTAACGCTGAAATAAATCTAGTTACACATGTATTGTGTTGGATCGCTGCCAAATGTAACGCTGAAATAAATCAAGTTACACATGTATTGTGTTGGATCGCTGCCAAATGTAACGCTGAAATAAACCTAGTTACACACGTGTTGTTTTGGATTGCTGCCAAATGTAACGCTGAAATAAACCTAGTTACACACGTGTTGTTTTGGATTGCTACCAAATGTAACGCTGAAATAAACCTAGTTACACACGTGTTGTTTTGGATTGCTGCCAAATGTAACGCTGAAATAAACCTAGTTACACATGTATTGTGTTGGATCGCTGCCAAATGTAACGCTGAAATAAATATAGTTACACACGTGTTGTGTTGGATTGCTGCCAAATGTAACGCTGAAATAAACCTAGTTACACATGTATTGTTTTGGATCACTGCCAAATGTAACGCTGAAATAAACCTAGTTACACACGTGTTGTTTTGGATTGCTGCCAAATGTAACGCTGAAATAAACCTAGTTACACACGTGTTGTGTTGGATCACTGCCAATAAACCCTATAATATCGATCATTTCACAACTAGATTTTGTAAATCTTCCACCACATTCTACCACATTCCAGCATATCTAGCAGCTTCAATAAACCGTCTGTTAGAACCACTTTGGTATGCAGATCCAACTCAAGTAGGTCTGGGTTTCCTTGGTAATATCCGGAGTTTTTAACTTAATTCTCAATTATGTAAAACTGCAACCTGGACACAGACTAAATCAGAGTGAATCTAATGCATATTCAATAGAGTGAGGTTACTAATCCTCTAATCTCAAGCTCACTCTATTAGATTTACATAATGAAGTATATCATTAGGAAAAAGGATGTGTAAATAGGTATAAAAAACAGCATACTTTGCCTTTACGAGCACAATGTACCTCCTCTGGTAGAGTATGGACTATGGAACTATAAGTCTATACTTTGTATACCTCTGCAAAATTATCGATACTTCTACGATACGAATTATATTATTGTTTAATGGTTAGTTAGTTTAATAACGATTTCAACCAGAATCCATCCATTATAATCATTCATTAACAACATTAACAACGTTTTTTATAATCATTTATTAATAGCATTAACCCTAACGATGTTTTTTATAGTGTAAAAGATTATGACGTAGAAGTACAAATGTTGGTGTTGTTCTTATTAATCCGACAATTAACCTCGTCCCAGTCTCTTGGTAATTATTAATGTTTTTATAAATGGACTTTATCGTGCCTTTCTTAGGCTTCATTACTTTTTAATTATTCTCGACTTTTGTTTAATTAACTTACGAGTTTAATAAACTTTAGTGTTTAATAAAAGTTGTTAATCGATCAACTTTTCTGTTTAATTAACTAATATCGGCACTTATTATAGATCCACCTAATGCTGACAATTACAAAGTCATGACTGTTTCAATTTTCATAAGAACCTGCATCATGTTACAATAACAGTAATACCCCGATTTACCGCGGAGTTTGGGAGAAAGGAAATAGCCGCGGTAAATCAGGGTTTGCAGTAAATCGGTGCCCGGTAAATCAGGGTTCTACTGTACAAACATTCAGCCAATAAGAGATATTTGAATTTATGATCAGTCTCGCTAATACCGATCAGGGTAATGAAGAGTAATTAAATCGGTAGTTACTTTAGCTACCAGTTAATATCAGCATGTACAATTCTCGACAAATTTACTCTCATTTCAGAAACTGGAGAAGCAACCCTGGACGCTGCGGAACTGTCTCTGGTAGGAGATGGTAGAGGTGGCCCCCTTGCTGGAGAAGCAACCCTGGACGCTGCGGAACTGTCTCTGGTAGGAGATGGTAGAGGTGGCCCCCTTGCTGGAGAAGCAACCCTGGACGCTGCGGAACTGTCTCTGGTAGGAGATGGTAGAGGTGGCCCCCTTGCTGGAGAAGCAACCCTGGTCGCTGCGGAACTGTCTCTGGAAGGAGATGGTAGAGGTGGCCCCCTTGCTGGAGAAGCAACCCTGGACGCTGCGGAACTGTCTCTGGTAGGAGATGGTAGAGGTGGCCCCCTTGCTGGAGAAGCAACCCTGGACGCTGCGGAACTGTCTCTGGTAGGAGATGGTAGAGGTGGCCCCCTTGCTGGAGAAGCAACCCTGGTCGCTGCGGAACTGTCTCTGGTAGGAGATGGTAGAGGTGGCCCCCTTGCTGGAGAAGCAACCCTGGACGCTGCGGAACTGTCTCTGGTAGGAGATGGTAGAGGTGGCCCCCTTGCTGGAGAAGCAACCCTGGACGCTGCGGAACTGTCTCTGGTAGGAGATGGTAGAGGTGGCCCCCTTGCTGGAGAAGCAACCCTGGACGCTGCGGAACTGTCTCTGGTAGAGATGGTAGAGGTGGCCCCCTTGCTGGAGAAGCAACCCTGGACGCTGCGGAACTGTCTCTGGTAGGAGATGGTAGAGGTGGCCCCCTTGCTGGAGAAGCAACCCTGGACGCTGCGGAACTGTCTCTGGTAGGAGATGGTAGAGGTGGCCCCCTTGCTGGAGAAGCAACCCTGGACGCTGCGGAACTGTCTCTGGTAGGAGATGGTAGAAGTGGCCCCCTTGCTGGAGAAGCAACCCTGGTCGCTGCGGAACTGTCTTTGGTAGGAGATGGTAGAGGTGGCCCCCTTGCTGGAGAAGCAACCCTGGACGCTACGGAACTGTCTCTGGTAGGAGATGGTAGAGGTGGCCCCCTTGCTGGAGAAGCAACCCTGGTCGCTGCGGAACTGTCTCTGGTAGGAGATGGTAGAGGTGGCCCCCTTGCTGGAGAAGCAACCCTGGACGCTGCGGAACTGTCTCTGGTAGGAGATGGTAGAGGTGGCCCCCTTGCTGGAGAAGCAACCCTGGACGCTGCGGAACTGTCTCTGGTAGGAGATGGTAGAGGTGGCCCCCTTGCTGGAGAAGCAACCCTGGACGCTGCGGAACTGTCTCTGGAAGGAGATGGTAGAGGTGGCCCCCTTGCTGGAGAAGCAACCCTGGACGCTGCGGAACTGTCTCTGGTAGGAGATGGTAGAGGTGGCCCCCTTGCTGGAGAAGCAACCCTGGTCGCTGCGGAACTGTCTCTGGTAGGAGATGGTAGAGGTGGCCCCCTTGCTATTGATAAGGAATTTACCACATCCGCCAAAGTAAAGCCTGGAACAGACAAAAGAATATGGCTGAAAGTCTCACTTGACCAGATCTATTGTGTTCGGCAGGTTATAGAATATGAAAGAGATGAAACTGTTCAATTCAAATGGACCTGTTCGCAAGAGAACTGTGGTGACTGCGAAGGAGACAATTGTGATGCTTTTGAGCTCAAGGTTTATGTTGAGGGTGTTCTTCCAGAGACACTACCGTCTTATTCTGGGTGCAAGCATGGGAACCGGGTGCAACTTGAGAAAACTGGAGGCAATAAAGATTATTTCATTGTGTTTGAAATCGCTGTTATTGCAACTAAAGGTTAAGGAATCTTGCTGATTTCCATTATATTTTAAAAAGATAGATACCCAGTCATTCAGGCGTATAACTAACTATTTTTAGAGGGGTGATCCAATCCGTACTATTGGCTAATGACACTTAAAAAGATAAAATATCTTTCAGCGACATTAAAATAACACGTGATATTTCCAGCCCGTTGCCTGTCAGCTACCTGGACTGCAGTTACCATGGAACCTCCACTGCCAGTAAATGAAGGTACCAGTGTTACCTTCAGCTGCCCGAGAAGGTACCTCAAGGAAGGGAGTCAGACGGGTACCTGCCAGGATGGACTGCTTAGACTGGAGAAGAGCGAGGATCCTCCAACATGTCTTAAAATAGGTCAGTTTATCGTTGTTAAGTAGCACTTAACGTTTGATAAGATCATGTAAGAACTGTTTTCTCCTAACCTATCGAGGGATGTGGTTAGGATTGAACAGTTCATACTTTCGTAGTAGTTTATTTGGCAGGATTCTCGCTCGTAATTAACAAAATCTCATAGTTGTATTCAGTTTGACAATTTTCTCCAGATTTCCTCAGAGACTGTTATCACATCGTGGTGATATGTCTTCTAACACCAGGAATCAGGATATTTAGTTGTTTGTGTGAGACTCGTGAATATCTACACACATCCAGAAAGTTTTAAACTTCTTCACAGATCATGAGATCAATGTTTCCCTCTTACAAAAAGCTTTTCCAACTCCCTCCCCCTAGTCTGGCGTACATAACATGTGAAAAGTCCCAATCTCTCCATTTTAACAGAACACAATTGAGCTTTTATGTATTTTGTGACCTGCCCCCTTCTCAGCTATGACATCAAGGTAAAGATTAATAACCATAAGGGTAGGCTCTAAGGCTCTGGTTGAGAGCTCTTAATCTACATAATGCACTAGACTACATAAAATTATACTCTCACCATTTTAACACAACACAAGCAGGTGGAGTCTGGCTGGGAGCTCTTGATGTTAGGTACAATGCTATGCTGATGTGGGATTGTTGTGAACTCTCCCGAGCACAGCTAATGGGCGCTTACCCCCCCCCCCCCCCCCCCCCCCCCCCCCCCCCCGCTTACCTCATCTCTTAGGATAGTCTATTGAACAATGGCCGGCAGGATCCTTACCTTTATAACACAGACCCCTTTAGGGCCTCTACATATTATAATAACACGGTTAATACTGACCATATTTTATTAGCTCTCTGGAGCCGCTGCCACGATATAATGGATTTTACACTGTCACTAATGGTATTGAGAGAGGTGCGATAATGCCCCCGTTATTTATCTTCCCAATTCCCACATAATATATGTGTTGTTTGTTTTTTTTTGTTTATAGAACCCGTCCCCATTCTTGTATCGGAAAATGACTGAACTCAGTCCTGAGTGTGAATACGGGTGGTACCTACAAATGTGTTCCACATAATATATAGTTATACTTGTATAGTTGAGTCTACCAGCATACTTGGGATCTTGCCATCTTTGAGTACTCGCTCTAATCCTGATGTTCAAATTGTCGTGTGCTTGGCTATGATCTGGTCTCACACTCACTATTTCCTAAACACCCCATTTTCAACACTATATAATGCCAGTCCACCCTTTTTCTTAGAGATCAGAAACTAGTTGGTTATAATATCATAATATCAAGAACGGAAGTCTTGGTAGAAAACTAGGTTTTATTGAGTTTAGGGTTTCTACGCTCAATAAACGTAGCCTAATTCTTTAGTAAAACCATGCTTGTTTTTGTACCTCGGTTACCTCGGTTATATTACTCAATCCAGTGCTTAATCTAGTCAGCAGCTGGAATTAGAAAGTTATTTCAAAAACTTTCAAATATTTCGCTCATAGTCAAACAGCCACTCTGACTTACTTGACTTAAGGCGGGTAGTATTCCCGAGATCCATTGACAACAGTTCTCCACAGCTTTCTGTCCTCCATCAGTCTAGCTATCTCATCTACTGATTTCAGCCCAGTATCTGCTTTTAGGTTATCTAGTAGTGTTAGGTAAGGTCGCCCCCTGTTAGTATGCCCATGACTCGGCTTCCAGAGGATCAGTTTGTTCAGTGTCAGCTCCGGATGTCGGTGAGCATGACCTGCAAGTCTGAGCCTTCGTTGGGTTATCTTGGAGCTGACTTTAGGAAGATCACCGTACAGACTGTGGTTGCTGACATGGTCTCGATATTGATTGATGTTAAGGGCCATTCTTAACATTCGTGTATAGCAACCATCAACCATCTTCTCCAGCCTTTTCGTCATAGTCCAAGTCTCAGAACCGTATAAAAGCACCGACTCGACTAGTGCTGTGAACACTCTGGTCTTGATAGACTTTCTAAGGTTAGATTTCCAAAGTTTTTTGAGAGTGTGGCATGCTCCCCATGCTCTTCCTTTCCTAACTCTGATATCACTCTCACTGTCTCTGATTCTAGAACCAAGATAGGTAAAGTCTTCCACGTGCTCTATTGTGTTGTTACCCAGGGACTTGATGGTATCAGGGTTCTCGATGTTCTGAGTAATGAATTTGGTTTTCCCTTCATTCATTTTAAGTCCCACTGTAGCAGCAACTCTTTCTACCTCTAGCATCAGCATCTCTGCCTCCTTTGCAGTATCTGCTATCAGAGCAATGTCATCTGCAAAACCAGTGTCTGTTATCTTCTCCGCCTTGACTCTCCTACTCCGATAAGGCTTAATGGTAAATCCTATTTCAGGATGCTTGCTTAAGGCTTGTCTCATGCAGTAGTCAAGGGCTATTGATTAGGCTCATCATCCGCCAACCTTCCATTCGGATTTAAGTTGGTGAAATCATTACCACCTTCACGTCCAGAAACAAAAGTAGGGGCTGATACCCTAGTGCTGTAAGAACTATTCATCATGTTTCTTTTCTGTTGGCTATGTGACACGTGAGCCACCTGCGCCACTGGAATGGCTCTCTTGATAGCTACTTCATCAGTAGATGTTCCCTAGAGCCACTCTGAACCTCCTTTTTAATTAACACTGATCACTGATAACCATTGTTTCGTCCTACAGAATCTTCGACAATGTCAATATAATGTTACAGTACACAGCTCTCTTGTTCTTAGCCTGTCCACTTCCCTCCTGTGATGGAGCAGTGCAGAGGATCAGAGCGGATAATGAAGCAATCCCATACGGCATAAAACAATCCAGAAATGCGGTGTCTAAAGATGGCACTACACCTACACATGCAGGCCTGGCTGTAGATCGGTATCTAAGCACTCAAGCTATAGCACAAAGAACTCCTGGCAAGGACGGTGAACTGTGGATGGAAATAACACTAAAAGATATCTACTGTGTTGAGTATGTAATCGAGTTTAACCCGAATAGTGAAACTAACCAGTTCAAATGGACTTGCTCTGAAGAGAACTGCAGTGAATGCGAATTTCAAGATGAGAAAGACTCTGAAAAATGTGCCAGATTCCAGCTCACAGTGGATTATAAGAATGTACCCCCTGGTGATCAGTCCTTTCCTCCGAAGACCGGATGTCAATACGGTGATGTGGTCAAACTAACAGATATTAGTACCAGTGGAAAAACCGTTACGGTGGCCGAAATCGCTATATTCGGCAAAAAAGGTTACTATTCAATTCAATATTGTATATTCTCGTATGAAAGATGTTTTAAACTCAATGATACCTAGAGACTAGAGGATGTGACTTATCAAAAGTAATGAAAATTATCTGATGTCATTGGAATTATATGCGTAATGCAATAAATATGCAAAAATATGCAATAAATACAGAATTTATTTTATTTAAAAAATAATTTCAGCCCGCTGCTCCAGCTTGGCTGAGTAAAAGAACTGGGCTGCAGTTACCATGGAACCTCCACTGCCAGTAAATGAAGGTACCAGTGTTACTTTCAGCTGCCCGAGAAGTCACCTTAACGTAGGCGAAAGGACTGTTACTTGTGAAGATGGTCTGCTCGCTCCGGGGGAACCACCTTCGTGTAATAAACTAGGTCAGTTTTTGATATTTTCTTTTAATTGGAAGTTTGATTTTTTTCTCTTAATCTCACTGTTTGCACTCTTGATATTTTAGCAGTAAAATATTTGATGAGACATGAGAACTATTCACACGTAACCTAAGGGACGTGGTTAGGGGTGAATTGTTCAAATAATATCCTTTAACTTACTAACTACTTAGTTACTTTCTAGGAAATATCAACTGAATTAGATTCAATTCATACGTATTATAACTAATTTCCCATGTAAACATCCCTGATGTGAGAAAAGATAATGCAAGGAAAAGAGAACAAGGAGATATTCCTGAAGCTGTTTCAAAAGTAAGTCATGTTACATTAAGTTATCACTATCTAAGTATTCAGATTGTTGTGCTGAAGAATTCTGCAAGCTATCAACAGGTAGTCATTAATATCTAATTGACCATCGTTTGTTCTTGCACAGGAAGAAAATATCCAACTATTAATTCAAAATTTACACGTCAATATTGATCAGGTTAAGTTAAGCTGAGAAGGAAGACACTCAGAAAGACACTCAGAAAGACACTCAGAAAGACACTCAGAAAGACACTGAGTCGTTGAGAAGGGAGCAAGTGAGAATGATCTGTTAGGCACTGCAAAGTCAATCTCTTCAGAAGACTAGCAATAGCAAGGGCTTTGTGCATAAACCTAATAACAAAATTGACAAAGATTTTAATTAAGCGAAAATTTATAAAATTTTGTTTGATTGAAATTTTTTCTTGGATGATTATCAAGACTTTGTTAAACTGTGCTATGGTGATATTTAGTTAATTCTTTTAGATACAATATTTTCGTAATGTTCTGTAACGTAATACGCTAACATTTTATAATTTTGAATATTATTTGTTTAAACTTTAAAAGAAAATGTTCCTGTTTTTCAAATTCCTGTGTCTCAAATTTATTGCTGGATAGGTACGGATTCTGATTTCTGATGAGAAAAAAAATTATTTTGACATGTGACAGCTATTTTGGGATTAAATGGGTCAATGCTGGAAGCTGATTGATCAATTCTAGCTGTCTCAAATGTCACCTCAGAATGCCGATCTATTAATTATAGATAAAAACCAGCACAAATATTTCAGATAAATGTCTCCTAACGTAAGAGCTTTGGAACTCACTATATTATACTATAATTATAGTTACATCATTTTAGTTTTTCCTCCTTTTCTTCTCATAATGGGTATTTTGTAATATAGTAGTGTGATCCGGAGCTACTATTTGTTATTTTATGTAATACGAACTCCCGCTAAGTGTCCTTAATTATTTCCTAAGATTTTACTGATAACAACCAAAGCTGAAGTCAAGTCTCAACCCGTATTCTTACTAAGAGTAGAAAGCAGCAATTCTATATCAAATTTCTGTGACGTAAACCTTATTGCAGTCTAATTTTCATCCTGGACATTTTCTTTTGCTTTTCAAACCTGATCTTAAAAACTAAAATTAATCTTGCAAAATGGTGTTCTCAATTCTTTTCTGGATCATTTCTAGTGTGTATTGTACCGCATCCGAGCTATTCTGTGAGCCAATCTTGGACCAAAGCCAACTTTCCAAAACAGGACTAATAGCCCTCAACCGTCCTACTGTCTTTAACGGGATTTTTACAGTGACAAGTGAGCAGATCCCTAATGAAGGTGTCTTGGAATTCCTTATCAACCACGAGGAGATCGAAGGTGATAGTAAAGGAAACGGGCTCCGTGGTGTGGAAGATTATGATGCTGTGATAAGGATAGAGTTTACCAGAAATAAGATGTTCCTGTCCAGCAGGATTGGAAAGGAATCATTTGGAAAGGAAGGGTTTAATCTGAATGTAACAGAAAATTCTAAACTTACCCTTCAACTGCTTGGGAGGTTGGTTTAACTCCTTTATAATCTCCTTCATAATCTCCCTTATAATATCCAATATAATCTCCTTTATAATCTCCTTTATTATTTACTTACATAGAACAGGTTCACATTTTAAATCCTGATACATGAATGCCTAGAAACTCTGTAAAATGAACCACTTAGATAATGTAATGACAATATTTTCAGCGACGAAATGGCTGAAAACATATACATGATCAAGATCTTTGGAAATATTCTTGAAAACAAGAATATTTTCTACCACTTTTATCATGACAGATCTGAAAATTGGAAGGAAAACTTGAAAATTCCAAAGATTTTCAAAACATTCGGGGCAAGCATGTTCAATTTCTGCTCTTCTTCCGTTCCAGGCATTGTCTGCGAGCCTGATCTTTTTCATAGGTCAAATTCAAAGGAGTCATTGACAGCAAACAACAACTTATGTATAGAAACACTATTCGTCAGGCAAGGTGAGGAACGTTTGCTGACGTGTATTGGTTATGGGGCACCTGATATGACAGCTGAGTGGGAGACCCAAGGGGAACAATTCCAATTGATGAAAAGAAGATCCGACTCTGAAACTTCATATAAAGGGAACTATGAATTTAAAACAACAAGAAAGTTGTTAATAAACGACACATCTCAACCAGGAATGGTTATCTGTACAATCAGGAACAATAACTTTGACTCTCATATTCGAGAATGCCAAAAAACGTTTATAATAACAATAAACACAAATAAAGGAGAAGATGAAGGAACATTTCCACCAGAGACAAAGGTACCCTGCACTGAGGAGTCATGCTCCCCTCCTAAAACTAAAGGTATAACCGGTCCGAGTATCGCAGTCATCAGTTCCATCATGGGCGCTGCAGTATTATCTGCACTAGTCCTCATAACCATTGCTGTCTGGAGAAAGCGCAGAGGAATTCTACAGTTCCAGCGATCTGAACCAGAAGGGTCCCAAATAGATCCAGTTCCTAAAATCCCCGTTCCTCCAGTTCCAGTTTTATACGAGAGGCAGATAGCAGCTGCAACCAATGTGTTCTCATATATTGACGAAAATTCGGAAGCAGACCATGACTACCAAACCATTGATGACATCCAAGATCCAGCCGATTACTGCTACGCTTGGACTGTCTCTGATGAGGCCCTAAGGAATTCAAAGGTTGGTATCAAACTGGTTCTCAACCCTACTGTTGTAAGAAGAGCTCAAGGATTCGGACGACAAAGTTCTGTGGGTCAGCATTCCATGCATTCATCATCGGGAGGATCAGGTCACCAAAGGACTTACTTCAACACAGGTGCCGTGAATTATACTCCTGTCCCTGTTGACGATGTTCAGGTAGAGCCTGAATATGTTCCAGCTGAACCTCCACACTCTACCAGAGGTCGGGTTCAACGTCTATCAACTAACTCGGAGTATGTAGCACTCTCGGTAGCAGAAAGAGTCTCAAGTTTGGGGGAAGTTCCCGTCCGAAGGAACACAATGGTGCAGCCCATTTTAAGGAGACCGGCGCAAATTCTGGATCAGGCTCCTGCGCAACTAGTCTCACCCATGGAACAGACCTGAGCTACCGGGCCTGGAAGAACTGTTGAGAATAAGTGGGTTAATGAATTGAATTTAAAAAATAACATTTTTTGTTTTAAATTCAAATTTTTAGAGAGGCTGGACCTAAATAGCCCACAGAATGAAAGCCTGCCTCTGGACAAGGCATACGTTGGGTGTATACAGGACTACATTCTTGAAGATGATTGGGAGTGTTTGGTGTTTGTTTTTTATATCCAGTTTAATTACGTACGGGTAAATGCCTCACAGAATGGCTAGCCTCACAGAATGGCCAAATTTGTAAATGTTTTTGTAACTAATTTTTATATAAGACTGGTAGGTTTTGTGGATACCATATGAAACAAAAGTCTTCTGGCAACACTTCTGTGGTGAAATCATCAACTAGGACCACATTTTCTGGCATAAATATGACTGTTTATGTAGAAATTTTGAGCACTGAAAATTTGTTTTCAAATTTTTGAACTAAGTTTACATTTTGGTGAGAACTTCTGGCACCAGTATGACAGAAGATGTTTAAAGAATAGTATTCATCAAACAAAACGAACATTGTTCAGTATAGGAAGAAAAAAATGCTAAAATGGCTACACGCCTCACAAAATGGCCAAAATTTGTTTTCAAATTTTTGAACTAAGTTTGCATTTTGGTGAGAACTTCTGGCAACAGTATGACAGAAGATGTTTAAAGAATAGTATTCATCAAACAAAACGAACATTGTTCAATATAGGAAGAAAAAAAATGCTAAAATGGCTAAACGCCTCACAAAATGGCCAAAATATGCCTCACAAAATGGCCAAAATTTAAAACTCCTTTTATTCAATGAAACAATAAGTCTAAAGTATTCACAAGCTATTTATCATACAATAACACCCCAGATGGAGTGTTTTTACAGCCGAATGAAGGTTATAAATCATGAAATCAGGGAATATGAACAACGCCACACAAAATGGCCATTTTTGGTGTAGGAAATTATGCCCTTTTTATTCAGTTCTAAGAAATTTCACCTATATGGGGGTGTTAACAAGGCATATTCATACCAGCAGCATGCCTGAAACAAGAGCCAAAGGTTTTAGAAAAATAAAATTTTCTCGTTTTCATTTTTTTTTTGCCATTTTGTGAGGCATTTTTTCTTTTTTGTGAAATAATTTTTCACAGCTCAGTTTTTTCGTGAGTTTTAGGTTATTACCCCATTCCTTAATAGGTTTTCTAACAACGTGTGGTGATAGAAATTTAAAAAGTATCTCCATCAAAAAATTTTAGAAATTCAGATTTGGCCATTCTGTGAGGCATGTTTTTTTGGAGGAAGATTTTCCGGCCAATTTTTCTCAAAGAAAAAATGGTTATGAGATTAAATCAACCCCCAGGAAGAAAAATATGACTGTCAACTTAGCTTCTTATGAGATAAAAACTGGAATAAAGTGTGTTTTGTGATTTTGAGAGACCTTCCTTTTTTTTGGCCATTCTGTGAGGCATATACCCGTAGCTTGTCTTAATCATTATTTCAATTTTACGATTTTGTTGCTTTCTTCAGAGGTTTTCAGTTTCTTCTTTGCCCAAATGTTATCATATACGCCTGAGCTTATTGAGGATCGTCCTCAAGCTGCAGTATAGAAAACCTCTTTTTAACCCTCCATCGTAACAGAAACGAAATCCGAATCAAATAAAGACTTGCCAGTATTTTAATAACCATGATACAACAGTTTTCTTCCCCATACTCCTATCGAATCATGGAACTGTATCTTCTAAAATATTCTAAACAGAATACAGAATATTCATTAAACCAATAAAACTAAATAATTCATTCGCCACGAAATGAAAACTAGCTGATTGAAAGTGTCAATTAATTAATCAATTAATAAAAACACATACCAGTGTTCCCATCTGCATCTGATTTGGACAGAGAAGCTCCCATGTTGACCAGCAGTCTACTGGGGTCTGTAACGTTAAGTTTAGTGATAGCCACCATCAGGGGTGTCTTACCCGCGTTATTTGTCACGTCACAATCCTGGAATTATAATCAAATTTACACATCAATACAATAAGAATAAAAAATAGTTTAAAGAAGCTTAAATATGCTGTGCAGGACATTCAAATCAGTCGAAACACTTAATAGAGTGCCCTTCTAACTTTCTAAGGACTTTGAATAAAAAATATAATATATTATGTAATATAAATCTATATCTCACGATGTTAACCAATCAGCAGACACTCATAAACCAATTATAAACCAATTATAAACCAATTATAAACCAATTATAAACCAATTATAAACCAATTATAAACCAATTATAAACCAATTATAAACCAATTATAAACCAATTATACACCAATTATAAACCAATTATAAACCAATTGTAAACCAATTATAAACAAATTATAAACCAATTATAAACCAATTATAAACCAATTATAAATCAATTATAAATCACTCACAATTCCCAGAGCAAGATAATACGCACAAATACTGGTCATCTGGAACTGGGCGGCAATGTGGAGGGGAGTATAACCGTCTCTGTTGTGTAGTCTGTAGTCCCCTCCTGACCTTATCAGCAGGACTATCATGGACATGTGACCTTGTCTGGAGGAGAGAGGGTTAATAGTCACGTGATTAACAAGTGGGGGAAATGTGGGTTATCACGTGGGTTGTCAAGTCAAGTCAAGTGGGTTGTCACGTGGGTTGTCACGTGGGTTATCACGTGGGTGGTCACGTGCGATTATTTATCAGATGCATATAATATTGTAGTATGAGACAGGCAAAAACAAAATCATCAATAATTTGTTCGTAAGCAAGATAAGTTGAGAGTTCAATTTTCATGGTCCGAAACGTTAAGTCAACAGTGTAAAGGTGAAGCTCAAGTGGCCTCAAGTCTCCACCTATATGGTAACTTGGAAGCATTTACAATAATAAGATAATACCTCTATAAAACTTGAAAGTGCAACTAATTTGCGTTTACTCCAAGCTAATTCATTACCTATTATAGTTTACAGTTTAAAGGGTGTAAACTGTAAACTTTACACTATGACTAACCTCGTTGCCCAATGTACAGCGTTTTCTTTCAGTACTCCACCGATAGCAGATACGCGAGATCCACGGTCAATCAAATACTTAGCGATCTGTAAATACACAGTATTTGAACAGAGAAAACCTAAGGTATACGATTTTCCACAAGCCTGAGCAGTGAGCCAGGGAAATGCACAATTAGGTTGGTTTGATAAACATTAATTGTTAGTTCAATCTTTAAGAAAGATTCTAACAATTAAAAAAGTCTCAAAAGTTAAGTGTAAGCTCAATAAAGTGACGGAGTGAGGATGAAAGTTAGAACAGTTCCAAAAACAAACCTCTATTCTATTGTTGATAGCAGCCCAGTGAAGTAATGGTACCTCCTGAGAGTCAGGCTCATTGGGATCATACTCTTCTACCTCTATCAGGTGTTTTACCCTGTTTAGTACTCCATTCTGAGGTGGCGTGGTCACGTGTTAGCTTGCTATCACGTGATTTCGAAAACCACGTGACTTCTTTAGAACCACGTGACTTCTTTAGAAACCACGTGATTTGGTAAAATACCACGTGACTTCTTGTAACGATGGTTACAAACCTGGGTAGCCTGGACGATTGTTAGCTCATCTGGGTTTACTTCTTTTCTTTTCGGAGCTACAAACTTCAGGGATGTCAGCTCTTCAGTCGCCATTTTATCTTCATGTTATCTTCATTCTGTGCTACAGTAGTAAATCAGAATAAATAATTAAATAATTAAATGTAGTAAATAAATCAAATTTATACAGCAATTTATTGTAGCGAGTTAGTGGTTACTTGGGTAGTGGTTAGTGGGTAACAAAGGGAGTATGTATTAAGAAAATACTGACATATCCTGAAATGAAGTGACTGATTGTTTTGGATTACCATGTCATAAATATTATATACCATGGAATTGTTCTCCTTTTACCTTCTGTCAGAAAATAGTAATATGGTAGAAGTTTTATATTTTAATTTTACATGATAAATTATAAAAATAAATTAAACAAAATCTAGAAAAGACAACCAAAATCTCATATTAAGTTACCATTCATCTGAAACGTCTTGATCGAATATAAACATCAAATAAATTGAAATTAAAACTGAGCTTTCTAATCACAGGAGGGTCGCTGCTCAAGATCTTGATGATAAACCGTGCAAAACATCTTAACGCTCGTCATTCTGTGACGTCATCAGCGAATATTGTGACGGTGGTGCCAGCTGTTATCAACTCTGTCTCACGGTCACGTTGGCAAAAACTTGTGGAGATCAAACAAAAATCATGTGCTCATCACGAGATCACATGAACTGATTATATTGAAGGTCTAATGGGGTGGAATGGGGTCACCTTTTCTTGATTGGATCGTAAGGTCTGATATCTTCTGAGTTTATATCCGGATATCTGTTAGGTTTCGTCACCTGAAAAATAATAATAATAATACTAAGTTTAATAACATCACTATTCACTATTATAAATATAAAACTTACATATTCTTATATTTAAAAAAAGTATAAACAGATTCGTGAAATGATGTACACTTAACTGTGCAAGAACGTTGTAATTTTACGACACTCTAGAAAATAATATTAGCGCCAGCAGCCCCTCTGCATAATCTTCAATTGTGTTAAAATAAAGTCTGAGTTTAGCTAAGTACCTACTTTCTTACTTTGTACTTAAAATAATCAACTGTCTTATTTACTGATTAAGACAGTTGATCGAACCTGCTCAGTGCTCACGTTCGTGACGTTAATAAGATTTAAATAATGAGATTTCAACAATTACAGAATCGAACTGTATGAGATAAATGGAACGAAGAAAAGTGTTCGAGCTCAATAAGGAACCGCTCACGAATTAGTTACTAATCGGTTACTAATCGATTGATAATTGGTCAGAAACCAAACCCACCTCAGCGAGATCTGGGTTAATCTTAGGTAAGAAGTGAATGAGAAGGGACACTCCGATAATAGCTGCACAGAACCCTTTAACTATTCCTGTGTTGTGGTACCTTCGTGGGAGCCGTATCGCCATGGTATAATAGCTGAGAGGTATTGTTAGCTGCTGAGGTAATATAGCTGAGTATAATAGCTAGTATAGCTGAGAGGTATTTTTAGCTGCAGTTAAAGTTAACATGACTGAGGTATAGCTATTAAGAGATATTTTTAGCTGCAGTTAAAGTCAAGGATATATTGTAAAGCAAGTGTAGTTTTTGTTGTAAAGCATGGAGTTGTTCGAACTTGTAACTTGAAGTAGACCTCATAAATCATGAACATCTCAAGGATTATCAGTCAACAAATTTGATCAAGAAATCTGTGTCGAAAAAATCCATGATATTTCGGAACCTTTCCGTAATTTCCAATAAAACAAAAGCTTTTTAAAGATAACAAAATGATTAAGGGGATTTTTAAAATAGCTTTAAAACCACCATGCAGAAGCCAAATCCCAAGTAAAATGTATGAAAATCATCAATAGTTAAATAATAAAATTAGTGAAATCACTAACTTTGACTAGTTACAAACTTAAGACAACACACTGTACCTCGTTAATTGGCCTTATGTTTTCCGGAATAACTGTTTTCCCATTAAAAAGAGTTTCGCCCGAAATTTAGGGCGGAAAATTACCCAAATATTGGGCGGCCACATTTTTCCGGCCTTGTTAATTGATAATTCCCTGAAGCACTTTTTGTCCCAATACAATTTTTCCACTAGACAAGAAACTGGTAAACTCAGAGCTGGGATTTTCATTGATACAATTAATCCTTACAGTTTACACCTTTATTTTTTCCAAAACTCTCCATAACAAAGTCAATAAGTCAACATTCGTAAAACTTTAACTTTACGCAGAAACAATATCCAATTAACAAAACAGAATATTTAAGCAACGTTCTCTTTCGACCATCATTATCAAATCTCAGATTCACACTCGATAGGTATTTCCTAGTAGCTACTAACATATTAATCAAAGAATCAATGATTTAAATGATTTTATAAGTTTACCACATTTTGCCACTGTACATTCTGTCTTTCTACAATCTCTACTACATACTTCAACCCTTCAGCTTCTGACTTCTGTCCAAAACAACTCTTTGTGACGTCATAGTCCCGGCACGTGACGTCATAGTCCCGAGACGTGACGTCATCAGGTTCTGGATCCTATTGTTTTTTATCCTGAGCACTGATAAATTTCGCGAGCTCCTCCTCGTGGGTGCCGCCACTGAAATTCGTTGTTGTTTCGAACTCGGCTGAAAGAATAATTTAGGTGACGACTGACGTAAAGTTCTATATTATAGTAAATAATGTAAATTAAGATGAGATAAAATTCGTGTTATGATACGATGAAATTTGTACGATACGATGAAATTTGTGATACTGAGCGATTGCTGAATGTGCGACGTCCTAAAATTTTAAAATAAAGCTAAGGGGTGGTTCACACAGAACGTATTTGCTACAGAGGCAAAATGTAGGCGCGATAATATTTTGCAAATAGTTTGATTTTGCACATCCCGAATGTTTTTGTTTGTTTGTTTGTTTGTGCGGCAAATTTGGATTTTTTTATCTGAACAATTCACCAAATTTAGGCACTATCAGGTGAATTATTTAACAGCGTAGTATCTAACGTTGCATTACACGATTTCTGAGTTTAACACAACAAATAACTTATGAGGTTAATATCTTACACTGAGTGTCCTTCAAGATGTATATAAAATATAAATCTAGATTCTAGAATTACCCTCATTGAAGGTTTTACAATTAGTGAATTAGATGGGCGGGCGCAGGGTGAATGGGGTCGAGCTGGTGATGAGTAATATTGAAACTTTACAACAAGAAACTCCAACACATTGTGTGTATAAGCTGAAACTCCTACAAACTATAATATTATCTATACGTAACTATAACTATAAGTATAAGTATAATACATCTACAACTGATTACGGGGAAGGGGGAGGGTTAAAAATCGCAATACCTAGATAATCACTAGGTGCCCCCCCCCCCCCCCCCCCCCCGGCAATACGTAGATAATCACTAGGTGCGCGTGCGCCCCCCCCCCTCTCCCCCTCACTAGGTGCGCCCCCCTCCAACTCACGGACTCACCTTCCCTGACCATTATCTGCACACAGATGACGTGATAAACAGCGGTGAAGCTCAGTATAACCGGTAACACCCACTTGTGCCTCCAGATACTCTTCGGGAACTTCCCGTCACTCATTCTATGATAAACACGTGGTTATTACTTATAATCATTAATAATTGATGATAATTACTGATGAAATTTACTAATCATTATTATTGATTATAAATTGAACTGTTTAGGCTTCTAGTTAAAGTTCTGAGGATGATTCAACATTTCAATAAAAAGAGGTTTGACTTCCCGAACATTTCTATGGGGATATCAGACAGATGAATCAAAAAATCTGTTGGGAAATAACTATAAATTTTAAAGATTAGTCCGATATATGTCGGATTTTTTGTAGATTGAAACGAATAATTCAAAAACGATAGTCAACGTCTGATCAGGAAAAGTATTTCAGTATAGTTTAGATGGTGGATAAATATTTCAATAAATTAATGCACTAAAAGTTAAAAAGATAGTAAAGTTTCCCTTCCTAAAGTAAAAAATGACAATTTCGTTTTGCGTCAATAACCTAATCTCCCTCTAAAACTCAATGGAAAAAGACTCCTCAGGCGTTGAAGCTATAGATAAATCTTCCGCCTCCTCCGCCTCTTCCGCCGACTCATCATCACTGATTGTAAACATTTCTCCTTTTACCACAATAGGAACTACATCATTAGACTGACTATTATCTGTAACATTTTCCTCCACCTCAACACTCACATCACCCTCCAAGTTAACCTCGTGATCTTCATCCTCCAGTTTCACCTTCTTGCCTCCCTCCGGCACCCTCACCTCCTCATGCTCCCTCACCCTCTTCCCCTTATTCCATAGCTCATTCCCGTAATCAAGCCGCCCATCTTTAAACGGCTTCACGAAATTATCCATTAATATGTCCATAATATCATTGAAACTGAGCTGATAATGGAACGGAATCCGGTAAACAATTAGTTTTCTGAATCTACATTTGAGGTTGAGAGGGGTGATGGCGGGGTTGTTGTCTCCACCGGGGAACTTGTCTGCTATTTTCTTCCAGTCAACATCGTCCGTGTAGTTGACTGGCTCACGTGACAGCAGTTCTACCTGGTTGTTTTAATTGGTTGTTAGAGAATTCAGTTTTGGTGTTTTTGCGTTTAGTTTTATTATTGCTGAAAATGGAAAAGTTTGATTCAAAAATTGAACTGTGTAAAAAACCTGGTCCCTTGCTATAATCAAGCGGCCATCCATGAAATTTCATAAAACGTTTCTTAATGTTTCACAAAGAGTCGCAAATAATATGTGTTCATATTCGGTATACATAATATGTATAATATAATATTATAAGACATATAATATTATAACTTTATAAGACATTTTGACTAATCACACCTTTCGCTACCTTATTACCTTAAACCCTATAAACCTATTACTAATACCATAGTAACGGCACCCGAAGGAGAGGAGAGGGGGGGGGGGGGGCTTAAACAAATTAGCCATCAGATTAGCTCATACATTAGAGAGAAGAGAAGTAATCAAGTTAGCTTGAGGTTTAAGTCACCAAAACTTGTTATGTTGCATATCTTACTACATCGACCAAACGTCCCCCCCCCCCTTCCCCCGGCCCCCTCTTTCCCAGCCCCAGTTATAATAGCACTGCCGTGCTCCAGCTGTTCTATTACCATAGTAACTTGATCCTGCATCGACATGGATTCTCCTCTGTTTTCTGAGTTCCTCTGGTCCACTGAGTACTTTAAACATTGCCGTGGTGTCCGTGTTCCAACTGCGTTACCTGTGCCATATTTAATTAGTATTTGATTAGTATTTAATTAGTATCTTTACTAATGTGAAATGTTATCTAAAATACAAAATTTCTATCTTTATTAGATGTGTTTTCTTAATCATTCGCTAAATAATCAACTCAAAGTTTGAAATTTAAAAATTAAGTAGGACACCCTTTATTTCGACACAAACATGTTTTTTCTTCCGAGCTCAAGAACGACGCTAAAAAAAAGATTTCGTGCCAAATCGGCGATCAATAACCCTCGTGACGACATTAATAGGCCTGGTAACTAACAATACACGTGACAATAACCCTCGTGACGACATTAATAAGCCTGGTAACTACCAATACACGTGACAATACACGTGACTTGACAGAGGTACTGGCAGGGCACATTAGCACCTCTTGGTCCGATGATTCTATCAGTCAAACGTAGAGTATCAGTTTACTGTTTGTCGGCATCCACAGCCTTACTTCGGCTGTTGTAAGATAGAAAGTAAAAGTCAAAACTTTAGTTAATCTGCTTTTGGGTTTGTATTTAGGTTTCTTATCTGTAGTAATACTGATAATCTAGTTCATTAAGTTATAACACTTCTCTTGAAACCTACTTAACTCGGCACAATTCCCACACTAATCACATAATCTTGATATAAGTGCATTACAGCACTTAGTGCATACTACAGATGTTGAAATCACAGAAGTTCTGGCTCCTGCTATTATCATATTTATAGTTGTATCTAGGTTTCCGATTTGCTCTCTTCTGTGATCATAAAGTCATAAGCACGTAATAAATGTAATTTCATACAATCTGTACGTAATACAAGTAATTTCTAGCGTGATCTCCCAGCATGAGTTAAGAGACTCGGTGATCGTGTACTCGATCAACGATTCATCAAGTTTCAGTTTGAATTTCTGTGGAACACCACGTGACTAAGTAACATGCTGATTTTATCCACAGAATTCCGCTGTGTTCTAGCTCAGGAACGGAGCGATTCATTTGAGAATCTTGAGATATAAGCGAGGCTGAAGTAAATAATACTATAAATACTTAAAAGCAGGGCTCATGAAATTGTTTATAAGTTTATAAGGCTTGACGTGTGTCTTGCGACATACTTATAGTTTTAAAGTTTTAAAGGCCTCCCCTGCGTCAGTAGTCAAATCACACACAACCTCATTAACAAGAGCCCTGGTCTCGTGATCATACAATGGGACAAGCAACGTCACTTAACTCTACACGGTAGCACGTGAGAGATGGTCACGTGGGCGGTCACGTGGATTGCACGTGGGCAAGAATAAGGTCACGTGTTCTTGGGAAGTTCAAATTACATGCGTTTTATGCTTGTCATCCTTTCGATCCACTCTGCTTTTTCTTTTTGAGTTTAGTGGAATTGTTATACTTCGATTTTATTGTCCATATATTCGGTATTATGGAAGCTATGAGTTTTAAATATTTATGTTATTTCATATCTAAAAGTGGTGTGATATAATTACGAAAGCAAAACTGCAGAATCATTTATAAGTATGTGATTTACATGTTGTTCAGTTAGTTAGTTAGTTAGTTAAATGTGTTAACTGCAGCGAGTTGTAATAATGATTGTAACTTTTTTATTAGTTATTATAGCTCAACTGGATGGATGCGTCGTCAGGTCTAAATCTCGCCGGTACGTTTATTAATTAATAAACTAATCAATTAATTTTTATTCTACGACTTTGATAATTGGAATTATTTCTGCTTAATCTGTTCCCCTTTAAAAAAAAGATTTAAGCTTTTTGTAGATTTTTTTAGTGTTTAGTTCGAGTCTCACCGCTTGAAATGTCACAAATGTTTATAAACAGATGTTTATAAAATTTGCAGATTTTTATGAATTGTTAGATCATCATTAAAATATCGCTATGTCGAAATATTAGATGCGTAACTAATTACTGATAAGTACTGACGTAGTATTACATTTCTATCATGTGATGTCCCCTTTACCTGCGAAACTGTGCAAAATAGTTTATCAAAGTGCTATAAAAAAGAAGAGTTCTCCAGATGGCGAACATCTCCCCTCCCCTGTCCCCTGTCAGTCTACATACGGCCATTTAAATACAGTCTCGAAAACAAGGCTGCCATAAAATCATGTAGCCAGCTGACAACTAAAGAAAGTTCTAGAAGCAATAATATTCCACAAAATCTAACAATTGTATCAACCACAGGTTCAGGACAGCACCAGTGACGTACTGTGACGGACACAAAGGATCCGGAGAGAAGATCAGCGCTCGGTGCAGTTACCCCGGTTACCACTGCTACTGCATCAACCTCCCCCACGAGTATCCTTCTTGTCAGTGCTCACGCGAGATTGCCCCCACCACGCCTCTTCCTGTGTTTACTTCCTCTGCTGTGCCGCCACTGGGGGGCGCGGCAGCCACATGGAAACCTTTATATGTTCTGGGGATCGGAGGAGGGGTGCTTTTAGTGGTTGTTTTAACGAGCATTGCGTGTTGTTGTGTGTGTAGACACTGGTACGCGCAGCAGCCACGTGCAGTGCCTGATAAACCGCCTGAGTACAGTGATTCTCCGCCCCCGCCTTACGCGCACTCCTCTTTCTACGCCACTAATGCTCACCGTCCTAGAACTGTACACAGGATAACCCGCGGGGCTCATCCCTCTGCTTCAGTTACAAGACATGTTTCAAGTGCTATTTTACAGGCCTCGTCTCGTCATAATAATGTGGCTCCTATCGGAATGGTAGGTAGTCATTCTGAACATAACATGCAGAATATGCAGAATATACAGAATATGCAGAATATCGAGAGTTATCCTATTATAAGGACAGAGGAATGTTACCGGACGATCAGTAGAGGTGATAGTGACAGAGTGAGGTTTCCTGTGGGAAATACCCGTTCAGGGGGACGGTTTAATTCAGATGACATTGCTATTGTAGATCTAGACGAGGTGTGACAGTGCGAAGAGGTAAATCAACATTCCATAATTAGCCTAGCAAATAGCAGGTCGATTGGTCATATATATCAGGGGGAATTTAATATACATATTTGAAAATTGATGTTTTTGGAATGTTTGGTATTTTGTAGTGGAATCTAGTGAACATTTGGATGTCAGAGGTGCTATGTACTGTTTTTTTTTGTGAGTTAAATTTGAATGTACATGATGTGCGATTTTCCGTGACTTTGAACGAATGATTAAATGAAAATAGCCAGTCTTTTTAATTGTATTATATTTTCGAGTGATTTCAGTCCTCAATTCTTGGCAGATTCAAGTTTTTTACGAAGCGAAATCAACATAAAGCAAAAGCTGAAGCTTACACTTCCAATTATACGAGCAAAACGATAAACTGACAATCAGAGATAAGATCGCAGGTTTCAACTCTCTAGTTAGCGATTGAAAAATTGCTAAGTCTTGTTTAAACAAATCAGTTTAACAATCTAGTTAAGCACAATACTAAGTTGAGAGATATGACGTGTAAATAGTTATTAGGTATTATACAGTGTTATTAGGTGTTATAGCATCGTAAAAATCTGAATATTCTACCGTATAGACACGTCTGTTTATTGCATTTATTTATTTTTATCTGTTATTTAATCTACGTGACGGTATATGTTATACTATTCAAAAAGGGCCAACTTTTTAATTTAGGTTTCTAAAGATTTTTGGGAAAAAAAATTAGTTTCCCGAAAATTTTAGTCAAAAATTTTCGAAGTCAAAATTTTTCAAAGTTTTTCTGGAAACTACTTTTCGGTTTTCGAAGTCCGCACCTACCCTTTGATATACGATTTTGGACTCGAGGGTTCCTCTTTGTAATGAGATCTCGGAAGGCAGGCCTCCCCTTCGCAATACGAGCTCGGAAGCGGGATCTCTGCTTTCAGAGGTACGTATCGTCAATGACTCGGACCGAAAATTTTCTAAGTCAAAATTTTTCAAAGTTTTTCTGGAAACTACTTTTGTTCATGTTTTTATGCTACCCTGATCATTCTGAGCCGAAAATATTTTTTTCGGTTTTTTGAAGTCCGTACCTACATTCGGAAGGTTGTACACATTGTGGATGTGATACTGATTGGTTTCATATACAATGTACTAATTATGGATAAACGTGATATTTGGCCCACAGATTTGAAGGAAAATACGCGAATTTGGTCCTCAGATTTAAGGGGTCGTTTACATATTACGTAATCAATATTTTGGTAATTTTTACCCCCCCCCCCCCCCCCCCCATTGCGCATTAACCGTGCCTTAACCGTGCGTTATCATCTACCGAATTGCCGACAATGTATTTAGAAACAGGAATACAACCTGTTAACATAACTTCGAACGATTAATATTTAGTTTCAACCGGCGTGTGATAATGTCCAACGAAAAGGATATAATATCCATGGAATCATCTCCCCCCTCCACTTCTCATTCCTCTGGATCCCACTCGTGGACTAAACAAGATTACCTTCTCGCGTCACTGACGGTAATGATAAAGGTCTGGAGTCTGGATCCCACTCGTGGACTAAACAAGATTACCTTCTCGCGTCACTGACGGTAATGATAAAGGTCGGTGACAGTGTTGAGGCTTACCTCCCCGGAGTCATCACACAGAAAGTAGCATGTGAACTCGGTGTGTCGGAATTACAAGAAGCAATCCTAGCTGTTATTATGTTCTTCTTCTGGACAATCGCAATCATGGTGTCAGTTCCGATTTCGGAAAGAATGGGAGAAAGATTCACATTGCTTTTATCACTTTATATGTCCATTGCTTTTACTATCTTATGTGCAGTGGTTCCTAATTATTATACTCTTCTTCTTTCCAGAGCTTTAACCGGTATCTGCATTGGATTAAACGATTGTGCAACCGGTTTATTCATCGCCAAGCTCGCTTCTTCTAAAACAAGAATTGCGCCCGTTGTTTCGTTTTGGCGGACGCTAGATTTCCGTTCACTATAACTATAAATATAAGCTCCAATCAGCTCACTTCATAATAATAATATTGATACACGTGAGTACACTATACTACGCATGCCAAGTACAAATCGGGCTTGGCCCGCTTATAACCTAATACTATACATTACACCGTTATATACATTGAAACACAGTCGCGCCGCGCATTCATTGACCACAGGCTATCTATACATCACATCTCCGCAAGCAATCCTCGCGCGCTGCACTGCGCGCTGGTTGTCATGGTAACGGACGGAAGGACAGATGACAACATATTCAGACCTGCCTACCGCTATCTCCAAAATCCACGTTTTTCTGCAAAAACGTCCATTCGTAACCTTTCACTATTGCCTTTTTTCAAAAGGGCGAACGGAAAAAATCGTCACTCAATGCTCTTTTCTTGCAGAAGCACTTGGTTTTGCAGCTGGAGGAACTTGGGTGTCTTTACTTGGATGGCTGACTTTAGACCTAGTGGGCTGGAGAGTCTTTGTTTTGATTACCTCTATTCCACTATTTGTTCCTCCGATCATCATGCTGCATTTATTAAAATTTGAAAAGCCGGAAGAAATTGAAGGAGAACAAAGTGAGTCTATCCCGAATTTCAATTATAGCAGAAGGGTCTTCAAATCAAGCCTGTTTTTCTTCTGTAACCTTTGTGTTGGATATGGAAGTATAATTCTTCTTCCATCACTGCTGAGAGAGTACAAGATAAGTCTTCCTCACGATAGTGGGAAATGCGAAGAAGTGGTCCAAGGTAACGATTTTCTCGTTCTAGCGGCAGTCACTGGTGCAGCAAACATGATAGGGAGACCACTGGGGTATTTTCTGTGGACTCGTGTAAAGTTCATAATTCTCCAACCTACAATCACCATAATAATGGCTGCGTGTTTTGGAGTTACTATTGCAAATCCTGGCTTAACAGCCTCAGTGGTTCTGTTAGGGCTAGCAAAGTTGTGTTACTCGATACAAGCAGTGGAAGGTTCTATAATGATATTCGATTGTGATTACTACGGAAAGCCCGGGTTTGAGATGGGGAGTGCTGTGACTATAGTTTCTGGACAGGTTGGGAGCATTGTGGGAACTTCTCTGGCTGCCTTCTTGGATCCTTATACTGCGGTATCGCTCACCTTGGTGATTTTGTGTGTTGAACTTGTCGTTATAGGCTTTATGAGAGAAAGATTTTAATAACTCTTGTTTGAGAGAAGTGTAAAGTATTTTGTCGAGCATATCTAAATTATTACTGTCAATTATATGAATAATTACTCTCGGTTTTGTTGAGTGTTGTAATATGGTATTTTGATATATCTTTTAAAATAGGATAATGTTTTTGATAAAATTGTTTTTAAATATTGTATTTGATTAATAATTAATGTTGGTGGGGAAATATTTATTATATAATTTTTCACATAGTGCAATGATATTTTGTAGACATGTGTGATGATGTGATTTCATAAATTTTACTTTACTTTACTACTTTACTTTACGATATCTTTAGTTTTAGCATAACGTTTAAGGGACGTTGAATTTAGTATATGTTTCCGGGTATATAATAAACAATGCTTTTATATGTTCGTATTCGGGAGTTACACATTTTGAGTGTAAGTCGGTTGGCAGGCAGACCAACTGTCAGAGATGAGCCGTCCGCTCATTTGCACCTGACTTACAGCTAGGCCTGTGGTTGGTCCTCGTGGCCACAGGGTGACTGCTAGTGGAGTGCCCATCGGCGAGACTGCGAGTCACGTGATGCAAGCAGATGCGTTGTGCCGTCACGCATTATGGCGTGACAGGTTTTGGGAGTATATCCGGAGATCGAGAGCGGAAGTGAAGAGCTCACTTTTTCGTTGGGATCCTTTTGACTATAGCCAGGGGATCCTTTTGACTATAGCCAGGGGATCCTTTTGACTATAGCCAGCCTTGCTGAGTACTATACTGAGCGATAGACACGTGGTGTGTTTATATTCGTGTCAAAAGGTTATCGCAACCAAGAAGTTTTTATCTGTTAAAGTTAACTTTGTATTAAATACTTTTCATTTAATAGTTCTCCTCTTTCATTAACTCGTTTCATTTCTATCATACTGTACGCCATGCCGTTCGTGTTACGTGATTAGAGCTTGACTAGCATATACCTAGGAACCCGGATTTCTATATAAGACTAAAAAAGGCAAAATACTCACGATTTTATCGGGTTTTCTGAATCTATAATAGAAATAAATTGACTCATAACGCAAGGACTTTTCTTAATCACCTTTTTATGAGGTGATCTTTTGTATCTACGGATTTAATTGAATAATCGAATTAAGAAATCAATAACAAATCTATAATTTATTTTTAATTGTAGTTGACGAAATGAGAGTCTCCACTCAGTGTGTTAAAACATAATTCTTTGTCGACGTTTCGGCTACATGCCTTTGTCATAAACAGGACGTACTGAAAACTTACATAGCTCAATAAATGTAATAGATTTGTAGTGTTGTAATTAGTTTAAAATTGTCAACTACAATTAAAAATAAATGATTGACCCACTCATAAGAGCAAAACAAGATTATCAAATCTATAATTTGTAAGAAACATGCAGCGTGTGATTCAATATGCGTTCGCGCGCGTAAGTACGTACGTGTAACAATTGCGAGTCATAAAAAAGTGAATAGAAATTTGTCTACTGCGCGCTACATTAATATTGCGCTGAAGAACGTTTGTCAACTCGAAAGAAGGAACATTGCCGTGCTGCCTTAGGTCATCAAGTAAGTTCAAAGAAACTGTTGAAATCAAAGGTGTCCCTAAGACTCAAACTAAATTAACAAGGATCAAAGTTAAAAGCTCACTTACTAACTAACTGCCAGTTATGGCCGTGCTTTTCCACTGCCGCTTTAAACCTATCTTTTTCTTGAGGAGTCCACTTTCTTTTACGTCTATTTTTCGGCTCTGCTCCGATTTTTGTCGCCCTATCTCGGACAGAATTAGCTGATCTACCCATCTTCTCACCTAGGTAAAATTAATTTTAAAACAGATCCATATTTCAGAATTCAATAGATTTCTCAGTACACTGACTCGAGAGTAGAGGTGTTGTGAGAAAATTGTACCTTGTAACTTGTACAGTGTACATTGTACATTGTACATTGTAACAGTGTACCTTGAAACTATATTACTGATTAGATACTGCGTAGTGAGGCCAGTGTCTTATTGTTATGAACCAGAATGAAACGCCCAGGTTTTGGGTTTCGTACATTTTTGTCAAATCTTTCATTGAGCATAGTTCATAAAAATGTTAGTTGTGCTTGAATATCTAATAATACATAAGTTCTTAGGTATTTTACTGTAACCACCAGGCCTCAAACTTTAAACAGTTAACTTCCCCAAAAGAGTTAACTTCTAGAAATCAATACAATGAAATGAAATGAAATAAAATAAGGTATTTATATCCCGCTCATATGATTAACCAACAACACAAGGAAGGTGGTTCACCATGTCAACTTTTTGCAGAAGATACCAAAAGAGTCCTGAACAATACAATTGTATGTCGATAATAAAGTGCTGTAAAAATGTAAAAATGTTAACTAACCTATAACTTTCCACTTGTGGTCGTCATCCACGCTAGAAGACAGTTTCTTGAGAAGAGAGATTTCCTTATCTGTGTAGGATCCAAGGTGGTTCTTTTCGTCAAACATCCTCATAGCCTGGAAATATCACCTATAACATACCAAAATATTATCAAATGTACTGAACTAATCGGTTGATCAAGTCAACAAAATGTATTTTTAATATTTAAGTAGCAAATCGTCGCCCCAAAATGATGTGCGTGTTTTGACTCCCATTTTTTAGCCAAGAAAACCATATCTTTTAAATGTTTCAAACACCAACTTCTCCAGCTACAAGTTCAAACCTTCTTATAAACGTTGATATAAGCTCGGTTAATGTTATCACAGCAGTGTTTGAAGAATGGTTTCCTTTCTGCGGCCGAGAGGGCGAATAGTGCGGGTAGAGTCAGGTCGTTCTCTTGCAGGTACCCCTGTAAAACAGAGGCCGTTAATTAATGAGAGGTTAATTAATTAATTAATTGATTATTTATTGGGACATCAATTCTATCGTGTCAAATTATCGAGCTTCATCTTGAATCTTGATTAAATAATTAGATCTAAAATGATCAATCGGTTTGAAGAAAATAGAGAAGAAGAAAGCTGCCAAATGAATCTTATACAATTCATTTGTCCGGAGGCCACAAAATTCCAAAACTAAAAGAGCAATTAAATTAACAAGTCTCAACAAGGCAACAAAATAGTACAACATTACAGGATATAAACCTGTTCACAGTAAAAAGCCATCTAAATACATGATTATAAACAACAAAGATAGAACGACTAGAAACTTCGAGAAACTTCGAGAAAGTGTGTTCATATACATACGTGTGGTATTTTCCACATTCTTCATTACACAATAAACAGATATATTATACATTGTTATTGTACATACTTCAAGTTAGGATATATTTCACTATACATTCTGTAGATACATGTTAACATGACAATTAAGTTCTGAAGATAGTGCTGAACTTTAAAGATTTCTGCTCATCTTCAATTATAACTCGAATATCCTATTTTACATGACAGCACCTTGCTGAATAGCAGTGTCAACGGGTCAGATAACTGGTATTATAGAGACCGGCTATAACGTCCATCTTTAACGTACTACAACATACGGTATTCAAGGCTGACGAACACTAATCATACATCAAAACTTAATTATATACAAAATTATGATGAATTAATTAATTAGTGTTAAAAGCAGATAAACTCACCCTAGCGTTTGTTTTCAAGATCTCCTCTTCTTCTCTCATCCATTTGCCCGTTTTAAATATGAGTCCACCGTTATCTTTCACTTTCCTTGGCATCCTACCGGCTCTTTTAAATGCAGTTCATGTGAAATTAGATTTTTCATTAATTGTTCATACAAGTTTAAAATATTTATCAAGAAGAATCCGAGAAATTTAAAAGTTAGGCTCATTGAATAGTGACACAACGTTGAACGTGATCGATAAATGAATAAATCAGTCCCTCTTATATCGATAGATTTATATCATTATATGGTTCATAAAAAACAAATTTGCTTCAGATTTAGAGCAATATCGCTACTGTTCTACTGTATAAATGAAAATGAGGTCACAAACGCGTGTCTATACCTAAACAAACTCACGCCTGGTGAGATAAATAGCACATAATTTCAGTATTATATCAGAGCTGGTTTTAATTTACCCCCATTATAAATAACACAATAAATAATTCTATAAATAAGGGTTATTAGTCTCAAACTTTCATTCCAACCGAGAATGAAAATTCTGGTACTTTTAAAACTAAAACTAGAAATAGCTTTAAAAACTTAATAATAATTTAACAATAAAATAACTTAGTAATAAAAAGTTCTAGTCCTATGAAAAGGCAGCTCATCAACCAGGAGCCGATTATCCCTAGCCCACTCCCACAAGAAATAATCAACAAGTATAGCATTAACCTCAACCTCCGTCCCCTCTTCCCTGGCCATATGCTCCACCTGCCCCACTATCTGGTCACACCCATAAATACTCATCCCCCTAATCTCACATTCTATCTCATCTCCTGGCTTGATAGCAGTCCGTGTTTTCAACATGGTTTTCAACTCATCAGAGTAGTTCAAAACGTTAAACGCAACAAGGGATTGAGGAACACGGTAGTCCGCAAACATGGTGATATTCTGGATGTTATTGAACTCTCCCAGTCCTTGCCATCTAGACAGGTCCAGATATCTGACACAAGTATCTGGGCCCGTTTGAGGAATGAAGCTGTTTTGTCTTTGTACATACACATATCCCGGTATGACTCAAAGTTGTCCACTATTATGTCCATTAGTTTCTGCACGTCTTTACCAGCTCGCATGACACAGAATGAAAACGACCCAAAGTACTGTTCTAATAAAACTTTACCTGCATCGTTAATCGCTTTTAATCTCTCTTCCAATAAAGGAATTTTACCCTCGGTGTCTGACCTGAATATTGTTTCAAGCTGTTCTTTAGTAGCGTTAGCCATGAACTCTGCATCAGTCACAGGTATACCTACTTTTAGTGCTCGATTAACAGCCGCACACAAACTCCAGTAACCAGTTTGTAATTTACCATTGTGATCTTTTACCCCAAACTTCACTTCACCCTCCTCTGGCCAGAATGAGAAATTAACAGTGTCTACAAAAAATATCCAATTGATCATGTCTTGTTCACTCTGGCCTTGAGGGTTCAAATCGTGTTTCTGCCAGATTTTCCTGCCAAATCCGTCATTTACAATGGCTTTGTAGATGAGCTCAGCGACTTTGTCGACCCCACGTGAGTTACATTTGATGTGTTTTGATTGGCTGTTCACAAAACGCCCTGTCATACGAGGGTTCAGTATGTTTGACATGTTTGGGAGATAACCTGAGGGAACTGATTAATTTATTGAATATATTCAAATATGTTTTACTTTGTAGATACCTTGAAAGGTATCTGTAGAGCATTAAAAATGTGGAATATTTAAATTGTTTGGGTACGGGTATCGGCCTTACAAAATGACACGAAAAAGGAGATGGCTCTGAAATGCACAAAAATGAGTTTTGTTCATGTTTTATTATCCAGATAGGTAGTTCAACAGGTATATTTTTCTTCCCGGGGGTTGATTTGATTGAAAAACCGTAAATTTTGCGATAAAAATTGTCATCTTTGAAATCTTCCAAAAAAACATGCCTTACAAAATGACAATTTCGTCACGGCTGTCATTTTTTAACAGCAGCCTATAGAAATTTGATTTCATCTAGGACAGTTAGATAAATATAATAGATTGAAGATTAGAATAGCTTTTACAGGAAAAAGGATGATTAAAAAAAGTTGGGCAATTTCGCGTGAGATAGTGCCTTACAAAATGACAACCCAAAACGGCATCACTTCAAATCCGATTTGGGAAAAAGTTTCATTATTCTTTCACGTGTCTTACTGTTAGATATATATGTTGTTTATATTATACAAGTTCTGTTTTTACCAAAATATATTTAAAAAGGAACATTTTTTATACTTTGAAAAAATTTAAAAAATGTCATTTTGTGAGGCGTAAAAATCATTTTTTGTTTTCATACTTGAACACAGTATTTGGTTATATTTGATATTTTCTATGACTGGATAGATCACTTTTCAGTGTTTAGTTAACGTTTGACATGTTTTAGGAGTTGTTATTACTCTCTTCTTTCACAAAATAGAAGCTTTATTTCGTTGAGTTTTGAAATCAGAGTTTGAAATCAAAGAGTTTGAAATCAAAGTTTTGATATCAGAACTGCACTTTTTTAATGCTACGGGAAGTTGGTCGTTTAGCTCCGGACAGTCTATGCAACGTCTATGCAACGTCCGTGCAACAACAAAAGAACCGTCTATGCAACGTCTATGCAACGTCCCTGCACAATGAACACTCTATGCACACTCCCTGCACGGTCAGTCTATGCAACGTCTATGCAACGTCTATGCAACGTCCCTGCACAGTACCATGTATGAACACCGGCTACTAGCCGGCTACTAGCCGGCTAGTAGCCACTTTTGTAATAACAGCTCCTCAACTTCACATTAACAACCGGCTACTAACCGGCACTTGAAAAGTGGTCACTAGCCGGCTACTAACCGGCTACTAGCCGGCTAGTGACCACAAAGTGGCTACTAACCGGCTACTAAGCGGTCACTAGCCGGCTATTAGCCGAGCTCTAAAGCAGACCTATTAGTAGCCGGTTCTAAACCGGCTACTAGCCGGCACTTGAAAAGCGGTCACTAGCCGGCTACTAACCGGCTACTAACCGGCTAGTAACCACCAAGTGGCTACTAACCGGCTACTAACCGGTCACTAGCCGGCTCTAAAGCAGACCTATTAGTAGCCGGTTCTAAACCGGCTACTAGTAGGTCTGCTTTAGAGCTCGGCTAATAGCCGGCTAGTGACCGGTTAGTAGCCGGTTAGTAGCCACTTGGTGGTTACTAGCCGGTTAGTAGCCGGTTAGTAGCCGGCTAGCGACCGCTTTTCGAGTGCCGGCTAGTAGGTCCGCTTAAGAGCCGGCTAGTGACCGGTTAGTAGCCGGTTAGTAGCCACTTGGTGGTTACTAGCCGGTTAGTAGCCGGTTAGTAGACGGCTAGTGACCGCTTTCTAAGTGCCGGCTAGTAGCCGGTTTGGAACCGGCTACTAGTAGGTCTGCTTTAGAGCTCGGCTAATAGCCGGCTAGTGACCGCTTAGTAGCCGGTTAGTAGCCACTTTGTGGTCACTAGCCGGCTAGTAGCCGGTTAGTAGCCGGCTAGTGACCACTTTTCAAGTGCCGGTTAGTAGCCGGTTGGTAATGTGAAGTTGAGGAGCTGTTATTACAAAAGTGGCTACTAGCCGGCTAGTAGCCGGCTAGTAGCCGGTGTTCATACATGGTACTGTGCAGGGACGTTGCATAGACGTTGCATAGACGTTGCATAGACTGACCGTGCAGGGAGTGTGCATAGAGTGTTCATTGTGCAGGGACGTTGCATAGACGTTGCATAGACGGTTCTTTTGTTGTTGCATGGACGTTGCATAGACGTTGCATAGACTGTCCGGAGCTAAACGACCAAGTTGCCAATGCTACTTGATTGTTAACTGTCAGATTATGATTATTTTTAACTCCTTCTTGTATTGACTGTCTCTGATCCATTTTAGATGATGAAAATAATTCAATCTGAAACATTGTCATTTTGTAAGGCTTTTCGGTGTCATTTTGTGAGGCATTTTGATCAAAATTGATGATCGAACAAACACATTTAGGCTCATCATGAGCTTACTGGGTTTAAGAATACCAATAATTAGGCAAGGGGCATCCAATATGAATATGCCATCTTTGTATCATAAAATAAAACTGTCATTTTGTGAGGCATAACACTGTCATTTTGTGAGGCTAGGTCATTTTTTTGTCATTTCCTCTACCAAAGTCACTAAATCAGTTTTTTTATTTGACCAGAGTAGTCTTTGATTGACATAAGTCATGGTAGTACCTGGTTTTCTGGGGTTAAATTCAAAACTTTGGTCTCCATTCTGGGTAACAGTTAGGCGGGGCAATGACTGAACAGCAAAAACGTCCATATTTATGTAAGAAATATAGATTCTATGTCATTATCATTCCTTGGGAAGTGTTAATTAATGCTTTTTCTTTCATACAGTAAAAGGAATAGGGTTCAATGTATAGGGAACCTAAGCTACAGCATGGTCTATGTGGGCTGTCATTTTGTGAGGCCTGTCATTTTGTAAGGCCGATACCCGTATGGTTTTTAAAGGAATAGTTTCAAACATAAATATTTTTATGCAATTTCAAGCAACAGAAAAATTCAACCGTAACACAAACTACAAAGTTTAGCATAAAGTTTTCCAATGTTTACCAACTGTACACCATAACACTACATCTAAAAACAACATTCTCATTTATTTTAATTGCACTATAATTATAATTCAGTCATTAAAAATACAAGTTCCTATTGATTGTCATTGTTTAATGTTTAATGTTCGACTTATCCAAAAATTATTCAAGACTTTTAAAATTCTAAATATCAGTCCATGGACCATTCAAACTTTCAAAGCACATGCAAATACGAAATGGTTAGAGTTAGTAATTATTATAACAGCATACAATACAAAATACCCAATAAAATTGATTGAAAATCTTTAAAACATCTAATATATAATTATATATATATCACAATACCGTTGTTTTATTAGTTTTATATCAAATCTAAGTAAACTATAGGTAAAAATATAATATTAATCATAAGCTAAAATGTACTAATCTTTGTATTCTAAATGGGGAAAAAGAAGAAACATTGTCAGTCAGTCGAGAAAATTGTCAGTCAGGCTATATGGCAGCTTTGTAGATGTTGTGACTATGCTAGTAGTGGTCCCAGGCTTGCGACTGGAATTGCGGTGTTAAATCGATTTAATGGTACCAACGATCCACCTCCCACTTGTTGTTTGGTACTTAGCATTAATAGTGTTAGCTGTAGCCATTTATAGCAAGAATCTTAAAACTAAAGGGGATGACAAGGAAAAGAGGAAGGAAAAAGAATAACGGGACAAACAATTAATTAAAGTATTTATAGGAGCATTAGATATTGTAATTACAAGCTTCAATAATAAATCACTGACTAAAACTTCTAATTAAAATGACACTTGGTACGCTCGCCCATTTTCACTGGTCAGTCTGAACTTCGGTTTAGCATGTTGTACACTTATTCACCTAAGTTTCAGAATTTGTTCAGTTTAGCAGAGTTAGTACCCGTGTTTCAATAAATCAAAAGATATCAGGGGAGTTCTTTAATAATGTTACGGTCATCTAGAATACCGAACTTCCTGAAAACGTTATCATATTTCCTCAGACAACGTTTAATGCCTTTAATCAGTCTATCACGGCTATATCCTCTATCAATTAGAATTTTGAATATTTTGTGAAGATGGGAGGTAAAGATATCCAATCTAGTGCAAACATTACCATATCTAAGAACTTGACTTGAAAAAACGTTGTAGCCAACCTCGGTTGGGATGTTACTGTGAGGAAATGTAAGGGATACAACATGAAAATTAAAATCATCAGTTTTGTTATACACTGATATTTCTAGTCCTTCTGTGGAAATATTAATATTTAAATCAAGGTAGTTAATGATTTTATTATTGGAACCAGCTCGCTCCATCTCCAATGAATTAGGATAAATATCTTTAATCAATTTATGAAAGTAAAGGTAGTTAATAATAGATAAATCGTCAACATATCGTTTATTATTGGATAATATCTTTGCTAATCCCATTTTCTTTTCCTGAAGTAAACGTTTCATATAATTAAATTCCTTTTTGCCAACAGTGAGATCAGCTATAGGGGAACTTGAATTTCCACCCATAGGAATACCCTTGGTTTGTATGAATACAATCCCACCGAAGACGACATAAGTGTTATAAATAATAAATTTAACAGCCTCTTTTAGGTCATCTTGACTAAAGCAGGCATGACAATCATAGGTTTTATTGGAAAAGAAACATGTATTACTGTCTCTTTTAGAAATACAAATATATCTATTACGGTCTGAAAATATTAAATCAACAACTTCATTAATCATATTCTCTACTTCAATCAAGTCTAATCTGGTATAAAGAGTAGTAAAATCATATACTTGTATATTATAAACATCGCTATTTTTGATAGCTTCAAGGAATTCACTTGAGGAATCTATGCTCCAAAACATGTTTATACCGCTGTTGTTGTAGATTGCCTCGCAGTATTTCTTGAAGTATTTCCTCAAAAGTTTCAGACAACAGTTAACTTGGACGTTAAGTTGTTTCGTAACGCAAAAACGGGCACCTGCAATGAACCTCGCCTTGTAAGGGTTCTTATGAAGCTTAGGGTTCCAGAAGATGCGTGCTAGTCGCAAGTTTTTATCTTCAACTTGTACATTAAATCTCTCCTTTAGACTCTCAGATATTTTATTGACATAATGAGTCTCGTCTTCGCTACAGGGTTTATATGTATCATTACCTATACATTCTAGAGTATTAGGATCAAAACCCATTTCATTGACAAGAGTTTTTACATAAAACTTTTTACAAATAAATGAAAAATTACCAGAAGCTTTGTCGATACTACAAATAATGTATTTACTTTTCAGCAATTTAAGACTTCTTTTAACATCATCTTTTTCCAGTGTGTTTTCTTTTATTTCAAGTGTTTGTTTCTTTTATTTCAAGTGTTTGACAATAATGTCAGTGTAATTTTGCATGGCTGAAATGTAACGCTTGATTCTCATATCTAATTTTAATTGATAATATGCATCCGAAATATGTATATTAAAACACTGTACTGTAGATGAATTCTAATTAAGCACTCTCCTGACATCTCCCTTCATTTTTACTGTGAAATTATCCACACTAAATTAAAAAACGCATTTTAAAATACACAATATGAAATTTCAAACATGATATCCTTACTGAAATAACAACACTGATAAGTGATAGCCTTAAACTACAACTATCATTAAAAGAGTAATTAAAAAGCTTTTAAAATATGCTTAAAAAACTAACTCCATAACATTTTACCCTAATAATAAATCATTCCACTGCACCATATCTGCACAGTACAGATGTACAGATTGTACACTAAACCGGGAAGTGAGGGTACCCAACATCAATTTCTTAATAATAAATAGTTCTACACCTATGAAACGGTAACACATCAACCAACACCCGATTATTCCTAGCCCATCCCCACAGAAAGTAATCAACAACAACAGCATTAACCTCAATGTTCCTCCTTCCATCATCACGCGCCAATTCTTCTATTTGTTCCAGAACTTTCTCCACCGCGTAGATACTCATCCCTCTTATCTCACTCTCTACATAATCTCCTGGAATGATGGGAATCTTCGATTTCAACAGGTTTTTCAGCTCGTCATCGTAATGTAGGACATCAAATGCAACTAGAGACTGGGGGACACGGTAGTCAGCGAGCATGGAAATGCTGCGAATATTGCTGAATTCTCCCAGCCCTTTACCACCGAGACACTTCCAAACATCCGCCACCAAGAGTTGGGCACGTTTGAGAAATGAAACTGTTTTATCTTCATACTGGCACATGTCACGATACGATTCAAAGTTATCAGTGATGATGTGGATCAGTCTCTGCACGTCCTTCTCAGCGCGCATCACACAAAACGAAAAGGAACCAGAAAATTTATCCAACAAAACTTTGCCTGCCTCGTTGATTGCCTTTAATCTCTCACCCAGTAATGTCATTTTACCATCGGTATCCGATCTAAATATCATCTGAAACTGCTCCATGGTCGCGTTTGCCATGAACTTTGCATCAGTCACAGGTATTCCTTCTCTCAGGGCTCGATTAACAGCCGCACACAAACTCATTTGACCAGTTTGTAACTTTCCCTTGTGATCTTTTACCCCAAACTTCACGTCACCTTCATCTGGCCAAAATGAAAAGTTGGCTGTGTCTACGAAAAATATCCAGTTGATCATTTCCTGTTCACTCTGATCCCTTGGGTTTAAGTCACTTGTTTGCCACATATTGTTCCCAAAACCATCATTAACAATGGCTTTGTAAATAATTTCAGCCACTTTATCAGCACCGCTTTTGTTGAACTTGATGTGTTTTGCCTGGGTGTTTACATAGAGGCCAGTTGACTGAGGGTTTAGGAAATTTGAAGTGGTCATTGTCTGGTGTAATAACCTGAGAAAGGGAAATTGGTAAGATTAAGGAAATTGGTAAGATTAAGGAAATTAGTAAGATTAAGGAAATTAGTAAGATTAAGGATAGACCTTGCATTTATATATACTATATATTAATAAATAATAATAATAAAATTTGGTCTCTAGCTTAAACACAAACTCTAAGCCCAGTGGATAAACCACAAAACTTATGCTCTATTGTGTGAAACAAAGATACTAGATCAAGATAACTATCAAGGAGTGTATACATAGGACATAAAAAGTTTTGGAACGAAGATGACATGCTTATGAAGCGAGCTAACAGTCTAATTGCTAATAAGTTCAAAAAGATCATGACATTAGGTTGCATCCTAAACAGTTTAAGCAAATAACATTAAGTTATACTGTCAATTAATCGCTCATGCCATAACTTTTCTTAAACAGGTGATGTGTATTTATTTTGTTAATGTGTATTTGTTTTGTTAATGTTTATTTATTTTGTTAATGTGTATTTATTTTGTTAATGTGTATTTATTTTGTTAATGTGTATTTATTTTGTTAATGTGTATTTATTTTGTTAATGTGTATTTATTTTGTTAATGTGTATTTATTTTGTTAATGTGTATTTCTTGGTTAATGTGTATTTATTTTGTCCATTTGAAATAATATTTTTTCGTAACTCCATGACTTGATCGGAAATTATTACATCGATAAAAATGGGCCCGTACACAACGAAGAAAAGCAGATTGGATCTGTGAAGGTTTATCTCTTATCTCTGTACACCATAAAATACACTTAATCTCTTTAAACAACAGTCTTCTAAATACAAAATTATATAAAATCAAAAAGTTTTAATAAATTAAACTAAACTTCGCCAATCAACACTTGCCTGTGTTTAAAATCTCCAACATCACAAACATCAACAGGTACTGCAAGATAAAACAAATCAATCAGATATTTAGAAATATTTTATCGTAGGAGTTTTACCACAGGAAATTTTTGATCTTAGTTTTAGACACTGCTAAAAACCAAGGAAAGCTTAGGGATCGTCTACATGGTACGTTAGCCAGATCTTAGAGAACAAATTTAAGCTATTGTGCAGAAATTACACTTGGGCAAGGTTTCTTTTCGAACCACTTCTCCTCTAGGCTGGCATTCGTAATATGTGATCCCTAATCCTATTTTTAGAAACAAGCCTATGAAATATAACTATATCAAATACACTCTAGTTCAAAACTCTGCAAGAAACTAGCTCTGAAATCCAGCTAAAGATCACGATAAAAGAACAATAATAAATTAATTAATAAATTAATTATCAGGACGTGTTAATAAATTAATTAGCCATTATTATACAAATCAGGAGGAGGCACGTAATTGATTGGCTGTTGACTACGGTTGTACGGTACAGGAACATACTGCACAACAGGTACAAATTGCACCATGTCAGGATAAGGTGGAGTGTAATATGGAGGGGGCATCATGTGAGGCATACCATGCATACCAGGCATACCAGGCATACCAGGCATACCAGGCATACCAGGTGGTAGAGGCATTGGTGGTATTGGTGGAACTAAACCTGGGGGCATTGGGTGGTTGATTTGAGAGTTTGCTTTTCGTTGGTTTAGATGTTTTTCAAGGGATTTCTGTTTCTTTTGTTGCAAGTCCTTTACTCTCCAGTGTAGTAAGCCTCCACACCGTAACAACTCTAGTTCCTCTTCAGTGTAAATTGCTAGACGGATCCTGACACTTCCGTTACAACATAGAGAGGTTGTGGTTGAGTTTTGGTTAACTTTTGGCAGCGGCTGAGTGCCACTTCCAGAGTTACTATTCGAGTTACTCACTAAGTTACTATTCGAGTTACTCACTAAGTTACTATTCGAATTACTAGCCGTGTTACTAGCTGAGTTACAAACTGAGTTACTAGCTGAGTTACTGACACAATCCCCCCAGCTCATCCACCCCTCACATTCCACACTCTCGACATCACACCACGATAGAGTCACCTCACTACACACATCAATACAGTCTGCATCTTCACACAGGACAGGCATTACTCCCTGGTTAATGAGTTCTGAGCGGTGGTTGGAGTCGAAGGAGCGCGCGATGACAGCAGAGACACCGAGTAGGCGCAGACCACGTGCACCGCTGTCACGTGTTGGACCACAACCGTAGTTAGCACCTGAGGTTATGTTAAAATAATGAAGTTGTTGTTGAAGATTTCCCAACGTTAGTAGAAAATTATTGTGAACGATTCATTCTGATAATATTTAGCGCTAAACCATTGCCAGCACAATTAAAGACAATTCTCTAGAGGGATTTAGTAGCATCAGCAGTTGCAATTTTTATATAAACTGAAAGTTATAACCTTTGAAAATATGCTTTTAAAGACACAATTTACCTGCAACAATAACCGATGGTGTCCCAGATTTCTTGTACATTCTTGCAGCCTCGTAGATATCAACAATACTATTCGACGGTATGTGCTCAGTAAATGGTCCTGGTATCGATACCTGAACAGTGTAAAATAAATAGTGTTCTTAAACAGTGTTCTTATTGAAATATTGCATGATTATAAATAAGTTGAGAGTTACAAATGTTACAAATGTTGAAAGCTGAATATTTCTTCTACAGCAGGGTGTCATAATTATTGGCGCGTAGACAATTCTGCGTGAAATTTTAGCTTACCCAAGCTTTTAGAAACGATCATTAATTGACTTCTGAGGGTCAGTTTCCTATGGAGTCTTGATCATTCGAGAGATAATCCTTTATACTACAGTTCAGTCTAAAAACGAAGTCCGAAAGAAGTTAAATTTCGTTGATAATCACGACGAAAGAGAAACATTTTGATTATTGGACTTGAAGCCTTCGGCTGCTTCCCCTGAATTCCGGGATGAGTCCGCCCGACTATATTTTATTGGTCGTTAGAGGAGAAAGAGAGCTTTTATAAAATCTATAGTTTTCGATATGTTTCGCTATCGCCTGAAGAGCTGTGCACTTTAGTCTAAAGAATAATTTCAGAAAAAATTCACCAAAAAAAATACACATAAATCCCTTACTCCTTCGTAAATCTAACCAAGTATGGAATCGACCCTTTAAATAACGGCCTAAATTATGGGTTTTGAGGTACATCAACACAAAATTTTGAAATTCTGAAGAAGTTCAGACGATTGTCTACAGACCAGTTTTTGAATTTTGTAATTTCGATATTCAGAAATAAAGTTATGACCCGTCGAAAAATATTGATTTCATCATAAAATACACATAAAATTTCAAACACGGCACGCCAATAATTCTGACACCCTGCTGTAGCTGCTGGTCTTGATGAATAAAATGTTGGAAATTTCGTCAAACACAACCAGCTGCTAGAAGAAATATTTAACTTTCGACATATAATATGCGGCTAATAAACAATCACCCAATCATTCAACTTGGTTACCTCAATGATATGAACACCTAGATATCTTATAATTTCAATTGCATTGTTTATATCAACAGTTTCCTAGGAATTTGGTCCCTAGATTTGAATATTGTTTTAACTACTCGGGGTTCTATATCAAAAATTTCATTAAAACTGGTTGAAAACAGTCATAATACTGTCATACCCTACTGCCATTAAAGATGTATATAAAAACGTGAAACAATTAGTGTAACAAACCAGGTTATTTTTAAGCTTGTTGTTATTGAAGATGCCCATAGCAACAATATTGTGGTTACCACGCCTGTTACCATAGGAATCGTACTGTTTTGGTGCTAGACCTTTACTGCTAAGGTACTGAAAGATAACATCATCATTAAAACATTAGCATGACATTATCATCATTGATTGTGGTATGTGTATCATTAAATCTAAAATTATTTACTAATTGAGTGTATAGTGTATGAGTACAGTGTATAGTGTATAGTGTATAGTGTATAGTGTATAGTGAATAGTGTATAGTGTACAGTGTATAGTGTATAGTGTATAGTGTACATGAGTACAGTAATGTTCCAATAGAAGATCGTCACCTGAGCAGCAGTGGAGTTCCTGCTCATGCTTCCTGAGGGAGAGACCAGCTCTGAGGAGACGTCATCACCCAGCGATAACAATACTCGTGCTTTCTCTACATCACCCAAAACTGTGGGATACAGAGTTCCTTCATCTTTGTAGGAGCAAATGAATTTAATCACCAAGAGCTGTGATTCAATGATGTTAAAAACTTAGTAAACTTTGACCCAAACTACGAAAAAAAATTAAACGAATATACCTGTTTGCAATTCTAGATAAGGAGGTTGGAGTATGTACAAGGATAAAGGATTCCAAGGAAAAGGCAGGTTATTTGGAACTGAAATTTCTTCAAACTGACAATTAAACGTTGATAGATCTTTGTAGACAGTTGCACACACTTTAGGAAGAACTGTTTTGCATTCAAGATGAATCAAATCAGACCTACTCGGCCAAATATCACTGATTTTCAAAGTTTCCCCATTCAGTAGAGTGATATGATTTTGAGAGAGATCAACATCAACGTTGCCAGCAGCAGCAAGTAAAATAGCTAATGGAGAGGACATTAGGTAATTAGCACGAGCTCCAGGGAACTTCCTGTTCTCATAGTTCCCGTTCCCGGATAACAAGGCACACGTTATCACATCTTTAGAGTAATTGTTACTGGTTTTGTCTTTACTGTTAGGATCTACACAACATGAGGTGCTCTTTTCAAGACCAAACTTCACGATTATGTCTGAGAGACCAGCTTCATTGAGATATAGATCTGCCAGGCCTGCTCCAGTTGCATAGTAACCTGATAATTTGTGACAATTAGAAAATGTATGCATAGAATAAATATGAAATTAAAATCGAATTTATTGTGAACTTGGTAAAACTTGTTGTTTGTTCTAATTCATTCCTGAGACGAGAGAAATTACATAGTTGTAGGCATATTATATAATTTTAGATAAAACCGATCTTTAAAAAGCTACCTTTTTCAAACCTTGAATAGAGACAGGAAGTTTAAAACCATTATCAAGCAGTGCTTTTGCTAAAAGGCCAGCTTGTAAAGTAACAAAAGCATTGCTTGAGTTGGTGCACCCTGCGAGTGACATTCCAATTACTGAACCATGAAGCCTTGCAATTTCTCCATCTTCACTTTTGCTCTTCACACCAAATGATGTTGGAGAGAACTTATTATAAATTGATTTCTTGAATGCAGTCTGAAAGTTTCCTAGTAGTATTCTGTCAGATGCTCTCTTTGGTCCTGATATTGAGGTTTCCACTTCATCTAGATTGAAAACACAGTGTTCATCATAATTACGAGGGATTGAAGCATCGACAGGTGCTTTAGAAACTTTAACCTTTCGGTTTGTAAATAAAAGATCAGACGCTGATTTTAAAAACATTGAGCAAACATCATCACAGGGAAAAAATATGCAACTGACGTTTGTCTCTTTGACCATGTTTGATATGGCAATGCGGTCTGATAAAGAAATGTGTTTCAAACTTTCACCCCAAACTTCAACTATACAGTCTGACAGTGCTCTAACAAATCTGATAAACTGTAAAACCAAATCAGTAGATACAGCAAATTGAGGTAAACAACCCCTAACCTCAATACCAACAATCTTAGTTCTCTTGAATTGAAGAGGTTTTCCCATGATCAAACTTTCACAGTTTGGTATTATTTCAGTAAGAGTCAGAACACCTAGTCCGTTGAACCCAGAAGTGAAAGTCTCTGAACTGACAATAACACTCTGACTTGATAAACTTGCAGCAAGAGCTTGCAAATAGGCTGCTTGGCAGTGTTTCATTGGAGGATTGAATACAGTCAATCCTTTGAGATTCAGATGACACCATTTCAGAAATTCCAATCTTTCAATGCTTTTACTGTCATTACAACTATTTGCTTTTGGAAAACAACCAACTTTGTATGATGATGGAATAATATAAACTTGAACATGAGGATGAACAGGCACAGTTGAATTGGTGTTTTTAATTGATGTAAAAGTTGATGCTAAATTCAGTAATATTGGTATGGCTTTTATGTCAGTTAAAATAAGAGAATCTGCTTTGATCGCATAAATGCCTTTCTCCACATCTTCTGAAGTCACATCGTTAGTGCAACACCTCTTTAGGTACTGAAGGCAAATTGGGGGTGTCAAAGCCATTGGTTGTTCTCTGAAATATTGTGAAGATGTTCATAACAATTTTTTTAAATACTTCAACAGTTAATAGTAAATATAATTAAATTAATACGATTTATAAACAGATTGTAAAAAACACAAAATAGTACAGCTGTATTATGCCACTACGGTTTAATACATTACATGGCGGATTGTAAATCACTAATATAGCGCCCAATATTACTCAATTTACATCTAAAACAGGATGTTTGAAGTGCATACTTACAGTGGAACAAGTTTTCAATTCAATCCTTTTTTACAATCAAAGAATGTAATAAGAATCCTTTTAATTTCTTGTTTAAATATTACAATAATGTACATGCCGGTATCGATAACGAAAGCAAAGTCATCTGTTTGGGTAGGCTGCAATGGTCAGAGCTTATGCCCTCAACACAGAAGATCATGGTTTAAATCCCAGTGTCACGTAGTCTAGGGAGCTATATATTTGTGGAATGCCTCCCAGGTTGACTCATGATCATGGGACCCTGGCCTACCAAAAGATCACAAATATTCTTTGGGTTCCCCCTTCTACATTGACAGACAATGGGGTAGTGACAGAGACTAACAACTATCCATGACAGTAATTTATAGTATGACAATAAAACTTATCAAAATAAAATGTTCCAAACAGTATACACATAATGTCACAATTGTGAATTGCTATATATTTGGTTTATATATTTATGATAGTCGATACAATATATACTATAAATAATACAACATCTATAAACCGCCTTATGACTTACTTGACTGACTTAAGGCGGCTTCAGCGTCCGAGTATTGATGCGCTGTCTCCATAAAACTCTATCCGCCATAAGTCCGCCCATTTCTCCAGTGTCGTTGAGACCCGTGTCAGCTCGTAGGCTATCAACATAGGTCATGGCTGGTCTCCCCCTACTCCGCACCCCATGAGTTGGTTCCCAGAGTAGCAAGCGGTTTGCGACTAGTTCTGGGTGCCGGTGGATATGGCCTGCTAGTCGCATCCTGCGCTCTTGGATCTTCATGGTTGCTCTCGGTAGGTTGCCATAGACTTCTTTGTTGGTTTTTCGCTGCTTCCAATCCACATTAAGTGCCATCCTTAGCATTCTAGTGTAGCAGCCATCAATGCGTGTCTTCAATTGCTCTGTCAACGTCCAGGTTTCAGAACCATAAAGAAGTATTGACTCCACAGTAGCAACAAATAGACGGATCTTTAGTCCTCTTCTAAGGTCAGACTTCCACATCTTCTTTAGCTTGTGGCAGGCTGCCCAAGCCTTAGCTTTTCTGACCCGCAGGTCCCTCTCTGTTGTTGCTATCCAAGCTCCAAGGTAAACAAAGTCTGTCACCTTTTCCAGCTGATTTCCAGAACAGCTATTAAGACTACTCGCCTCCTCTGTCATGTTCAGAGTCATGAACTTAGTTTTAGAGCCGTTCATGGCTAGCCCAACACTCAGTGCTGCTTTCTCAAGCCTGTCCAGGAGTAGTTTTGCCCCTTCAATGGTATCAGTGATAAGGGCAACATCATCTGCAAACTCGACGTCTGCGATCTTCTCGGCACCAATCCTTCTACTCCGTGCAGGCCTGAGGGTAAACCCAGAGTCCGAGTCATCATCGTCTATAGTCACTGTCATGATATAGTCAATCACGATAATGAACAAGTACGGGGCAAGAGTGTCTCCTTGCAGTACTCCAGCCAGGATATCAAAAATTTCTGTTATACCATCGGCTGTAACTGTTAGAATCTTAATTCTATTTGTAGCTTGTTTTTGTACTTCATATTACTAACCCTGTATCTCACTTTAGCAAAGGTTTAGTTCCAGTGATTGTATATACAGTGTTGGGGTAAAGGGACTCCAGAAGGCAGACAAGGCTCGACTCCAGACTCTAGTTGAAGTAACAGAAGAGAGAGGAGTGTCCAGTGTTTAGTTGACTCCAGACTCTAGCGTAGCAGAAGGGAGAGGAGTGACGTTGTCGACTCCAGACTCTAGCGTAGCAGAAGGGAGAGGAGTGACGTTGTTTTAGTGATCCCACAGATTCCAGTCGACAGATACTATCTGTGTTCTGTGACGTGGAAAGAGTGGTAAGTAGTTTATAGTTATAGTTTAGTAGTTTAGTCTAGGAGTTCCCGCTTCCTCTTTCACTTTCATTTATAGTTTCACGTGGATTACCTTTCACTTTACTCACGGTAGTTTTCCCCCAGGGTTTGGTATTATAGTTATCAGTTCCAGTTTAGTTGAAGTCCTCATCATTCAGAAGTCCCTCATATAGTAAGAAGAACATCATCATCAGGGGTAGTAGTTTTAATTTAATAGTAGTTTAATCTAATAGTAAAAAGACATTATTTAGTTTAGTATTGAATTGTGTATTAGTTAGAGCAGTGTGAGTAACTGAGTCACACCAATCACCTTTTAATCACTCATTCACTATTTGAGGGTGAGTACATAGAGTAACAAGGTTACATTTGAAACACCATTTATTTGTATAACCTCTTTATTCATCTAATTTGTATTTATAATAATTGAGTATTATTTGTTATTTAATTAACCCAAGAACAGGGTTCCAACAGTGGTAGCAGGCAGAACTACGTTACACCGGACCGTATTTATTTTTTGTATATTTAAACTAACACCTAACACTTAACACCTAACACTAGATTTCAGTTTTCATCATGGGAGGTGATAAAGTACCTGTTCTTGATGAGAAGGCCAACTATACAGATTGGAAACGGAGAGTTCAGTGGTGGAAGAAGGTGACCACCGTCAAGCCTGAGGCAGGAGCAGCTGCATTAATCATGAATATGTCTGGAAAACCAGAAGCTGTTGCTATACAGCTGGACGTGGAAGAATTGTCCAAAGCAGGAGGAATAGATGTTCTCATTTCTGAACTGGACAAGTTATATGAAAAAGACCAGACTCAGTCAGTCTTTACGTCCATTGACAGCTTCATGAACTACAGAAGACCCAAGGAAGTGCCCATGGAAGAGTATGTGAGAGAATTTAGCCATCGTTACAAGAGCCTTGTGCAGAAGCGTGGTGCTACTGTGGTATTTGAAGATGGAGTACTAGCGTACTTCTTATTACATCATGCTAATCTCTCGGACCATCAAAAGACGTTAATCAGGGCAACGGTCTCTAAGTTAAGCTACGAGAATATGGAATCCCAGCTTAAGAGAGCATACGGAGAAGATTATACTAATACATTTTCTTCTTCATCAAGCGCAAGCGGCGCAAGCGATGAAACATATTCCATCGGAAAACCAAAGATTAAAGAAGAGCCTGTAAATACTTATTTTCAACAGTACGACATCAACAATTCAGAACATTTTGGTGAGGACCAGAGCAACCAGGAGGAAGACCCTCAGAAAGTTTTTTATCAACAAAGACACCACCAACACAGGGATTTTTATTCATCTAAGAGACCTTTCGGACAAAGACCCTTCGGACAAAGACCTGCGTTTCAAGGACAGAGTTCAGGAAACGTGTATCAACAAGCTCCATTTAGATCCAGACGAGGAGCACAAGCCCAACAATCAGGACCCTTACGTTGTCATATTTGTAAGGAAACAGACCATATGATGAGAGACTGTAAGTACAACACATTTGGAGAGAAGAAGCTTACATTCTTTGAGTCTGACTTTAAACTAAAAGATGAAAACAAGTGTATCACGTACCTTATGGGAGAAGCGACAAATAAAGCACTTTTAGATACAGGTGCTAGCTCCACAGTGTGTGGAAAGAAATGGCTGACAGTCTTCGAGGAATCTCTCACATCAGCTGAACATGAAGAGGTCAAAGTGACTCCTTGTGAGAAGAATTTTTGTTTCGGGGATGGAGATGCAGTTACAGCCAGGATACAAAAAGCACTCCCAGTAACAATATGTGGTCAGAAAGTAACTTTAAACGTGTTTATTGTGGAAAATGATATTCCTCTGTTACTGTCTAGAGAGTCCATGAAAAAGATGAAGATGAAGATCGATACTGAAACTGACAAAGTTTATGCTTTCGGAGGAGAAGAGAATCTAGTGATCACTAAGTCAGGACACATGATGATACCCATAGGACGATGTGAAAGTTCTATCAGCCAAACAGATTCTGGAAGAACTAATCATGCAACAGAAATTAAGGTCCGTCCTGTTTTAGAGGAGAAGATTACATCGCCATGGTCACTAAGTGACGATGAAAGTGATCAAGAGGAGGAGTTAGAAACATTCAGTGGAGCTGACAATGAGAGTGTGCAAGACAATGAGCCAGAAATTGAGCCAGATAGTGAGCTAGAGGACCATGGAGTTGTGAGCTCAGTTTCAGGTAATGTGGATCAAGACAGTGAGCCAGAAAGTGAGCCAGAAATTGAGACAGAAATTGAGCCAGATGACCATGGAACTGTAAGTTCAGTTTCAGGGAGTGTGAATCTGTCAGATCTGTCAGTGAATCAGTCGGATTGGGAAAGTGTGTGTCAAACCAGAACAGGCGTGGGTGTAAAGAAGAATGACATTATCAGGTTCAGATCCTCGGAGAGTGATGATTGGAATAATGCCTTGGTGATAGGTAGAGCCGGGAAACCTACAGGGAAGAACAAAAATCTTTACAATGTACGACTGGACGAGTCAAACGGTGAACCCGTATCAGTTGAGTTGGATAACTCTGTACAAGTGCAGAGGTTAAAGATTGTTCAGGATGTCTCACGAAGAGAGGTGCAGTTTTCAGCAAGCTCGCTTAAGTCATAGATCAAGGATACTGTGAATATGTCAGAGAGAGTATAACTGTTTTGGACTTTATGTTGTAGAAAGAGATTGAATATTTTTGCTCGAATTATTTGTTGTTTGAAATGTCAATTTGGTTAAACAATAACTTTTTAACGTCATTTGTAATAAACTTTTAACTTTAAATGTGTGTGTATATATTAGTATTGTTAGAATTACCAACTTTGTAACGAGTCATTTTTACATTTTTAACCTTTCAGAGACTTTTAACATGCACGAGGTGTTTGTATTTAACAATCTTTTAAACATTTGTAACTCTTTAC